GAGCCGGAAGGCCTCCATGCGGATGTCAAACCAATTATTAATCAACGCAAAGGCAGGAGCGATCGGAAAGGAAGTGACGAACATAGTGCAGAAACCAAACTGAATGACTTAAATTTGGCACACACACACAATTTGGGATTAGCTGTACATCGCGGACCACCACCCAAGACAAACACCACAGCGCTCATGTTTAAGCACATGTATTGGATGCATACCGCTTTTGCGAAAGCATTTAAGAATGCGGCCTTCATAACTCGGAAGATCGTCGTCCTTAATCCATTGGGGAGCCCGTGTTCTCTTTCTCGCCTCCTGAAACTCGCGTCTTTTGAGCGCCTTGGCTGCAAGGATTTGCTTTCTATTCCAGGTACATTTAATCCAACTATAGAGTCCTTTCGCACGTAAGTTATCAATTACTTTTTTTTTTTGCCAGAACAATAATTTGCACATCACGGCCATGAACTTACGGGAAGACCATCTCGAAGAGTCCGTTTAGAAACTGTTTACCGATAAAGACAACTGAAAGCTGTACTGTCAGCTCCGTTATGCACGCGTCGTAAAGGCACTTGTCCTGCAGGTCTGGCCTGTCTCGGAAAACACCGCCTCCGAACTAAGTTTATTTCATTTTTGATTCACGCCATGAATCAAAAGGGAGCGATCAGAAATTCATGCGGTGAATTCGCAGTTCATTTGTGTAATTTGACCTGTCTGATTACCGGTGCTTTAAAAAACGCGTAGTAGAAGAGCGTTGCATACATGTTTGTAAAGTCAAACAAGTACCGCTTGGTAATAAGAGAATCTACGCAGAACAAATAGCAATCAACAATTAAAATACCTTCACCTTTTCATTTGCCGCTCTACTTGTTGTTGTCGTTGCTGCTGTTACCTTCGTAGGCATCAGTGTACTTGTGATTCTCTTTGTCAGTCAGCCATTCTGCTAGTCTGCACCAGATCTGTATAGAGAAACGCGCTGGTTAAAATGTTGGTGCGATTTTGGGGGTGATGAATGCTGCCAGCTGGGCCGAAGGGTCATGTCAAGTTGTGGCCTTACCTCACCGAGGATGATAATGACGATCAAATTGAATATGGCGGTGACTACAACAGTAGCATATGCACCGCCGAGATGGTGCCTGCACGATGTTTTGAATATCATAAGGCATGCAACTGATCCTATCACAACCACGAACTATAAAACGCCTTTGTGAGATCAAGCTGTTTATATATGCTGTACGGCTTTGTATCCAGAGAACTTCATATAATTGCGTATTACTGCAAGTAGAACGGCGAGAGAGCTGGCAAATATTCGAAGTGCCTTCCAGTAGAGCGGATAGTAGGGCTCACGCTTGCCAGTAACGGGTGAGATGCGAACCTTGGTTGCCCTGAACTCTGTCCTAGGCAGCTCTATGCGCTCATAATCGTTCATGTTCCACTGGAAGGAGTAGTATTGATTTGCTCGCTTCCAAAACTCAATATAAACAGTTGACCAAATTGACATGAACAAGGCGAACGGCATAGTCAATGCGTTGTCGAAAATTGCAAACAGGGCGTTCGGGGTCGCGTCTAATTTCTTTAGCCTATTTTCATTCACAAAACATTCTAATCACATCAGTATCTCGTACATTAGAAGCTTACTATTAGAAAGATTATCCAAACAAACCTGTCTAATTTTTACCTTGCTGCATTAACAACTCCAAAGACAAAAACAGCTATCCCAACAGCTGCTGGTACCACAAGCCATTTGGTATAGTGCCCTAGCCATGCGAAATATATCCCGATGCGTTCTCCAAAATATGTGTTGACCAGATCAAGAGGCTGGCTCCTCCAAAATTGCCGAGCCCATTTGATGTGTAGCTGCGCCCGGTAATTCAGGTCGTTTGTCGATTTGAATGCTTTCTGTACGAGCCATCGTGTAACGCGTACCTAAAATATCGAATCAAAGTATTAATCGACTTGATCAGTATTCAAAGGCGTTTCCATCTTTACTAGAACTTGGGCCACTATCACGTACAATTTTTGATAGATGCCGTGTCTCAAAGCTGACCGAAGTCCCATCTTTCGGCCTTCCGGGTTGCTTCGATACTCTGTCCTCATCATAACGCTATTAACCTTGAGGTGATAGTGGTATTGGTAAAAGAAAAAGTTTGTGTAGCGCTCAATGTACCGCCATGGCGCATTCAACCTGCGATCCCGCACTTACCAGTTACCCCCGTCGACCTGTCTGAAAAAAACCGGGTCGGCCATCTGAGCCTGAATGGGATCCCATATGTGAGCCATCCCTCTGAACAGCACCAGCGTGACGGACTACATCGGACCATCGCCGACCAGGCTCTGCCAAATAAAAATCCGCCAGTCGCGCTGCTTTAAAAAGCACCGATTCTCTACGTTGTTCCAGGCCAGGTTGTCTCAACCAAGGAAAGAGACGGAAGATACTTGGAAATATCCTGGAGGTGTAAGGAATCGAGGGTAATATCGTACTCTAGTGGTAGAAGGTAGTGTAGATTATTTGTGGTCAATGGCGGTGTGCGTTAACTGAAGCATAAGGCAAGAAAGGGATCTCTGTAAGGATAGTTGTGTAAAAGGAATAGCGAAATATCCATATTTTCGATGGCATTTCTTGGGTTAAGAGCTTACGGCCAGATCCGCCTTGCAGTTTGTTTTTTGAGCTTCGATAGCCAGTCTCCAGAATGGTGCGAGGACTTTGATGTAGACCGCATCCGAGCTGACAGATTTTTCCAACTCAAGAAACACTCCTTCTTTCAAAAGAGCCGTCTGAAAATCGCGTCGATGGAGCTGAATCTTTCGTTGTCTCAGCTTTGCTCTACTGGCTCGTTCATTCCTCCGCGTCTTTGGTGGTCGATCTCTTCCCTGTCCCTGACTCTCGGTGGAATACCTCTGTTGAGGTGTCGATGAGGTGTTTTGAAACAGGCCAGATGTTCGTTGGCTGTTGATCGCTCTGGTTTGGTTATCCATGCCGGTGTCTGACAGTCGATCCTCACTCTCGACGATCGCAGTTGAAGATTGTGGACTCGGAGACATGTCAGTTGAACATTCAAGGGGACGTAAGGGCTGAAAAGATTGGCCCTGCACGTCTTTCTCGCCTGCAAGCACCGTCATTGGAAGCGATATATGAGACATGCTCCGAGGGCGCGATTGATCCAAATTGGAATCTGTCCCTAACATGGACGACGATCTCGTCGATGACTCCAGAGAAGATGCCCTTGAAAGTAGCTTTCCCGGCGACTGCTTCAATTTTTCGAGTCTTGAGAAATGGCGTTTCTGAATCGTGGAAGGACCAGATTTCATTGGGTCAATTGCACTTGCTGTTTCTGTAGTTACTGGGAAAGGTAGAAGCAAGTCTCCTGCAGTTGCTTCAGCTGAATGTCCTATATCAACTTGATCCATCCAATGATTTCTCGCCTTTTTCTGTTGCTGACTCTGCGAAGGTGGAACTGGAGAGCCCCTTGGCGACCGAAAAAAATATGCGCTCCTGTCAAACAGTTGAGCGAGTTCTTCTTGAGTAGCATCATACTTAAGAGTGATGTCGAATGCCTCTGTGGAGTACACGAGCTGAGCTAAGGCGTCTGCACCCTTAGCCGATGCTATACATAATAGACCAGGGTTTTCAATGAGGCAGGTGGTTCTGGAGGCCATCTTTCTTTCTAGAATTCACAGATGTAACATACCGAAGGCGTCTATGGCATCATCGACCCACAGATTAGGGCGGTTGTCTTTCCAGTCTTGAATTGCATCAAACAGGTCGACATCTGCCTGGTAGAGTAGGTGAACCACTCGATAGCTGCTCATGGTCCGACAGGAAACAGTATGACCCTGCTGATATACTGACTGTTTGTTTATTGCTGCTGCATCCGCTGCATATGAAGCTGCTGGGTGACGAACTGAAGAATATCGACTTTCAGTGAATGCTTTAGAGCCTACTGCAATAGGCGAGGACGGCGAGGGTGAAGATGGTCGCACATGAAGGCGAAGGTGATCATGGATGTCGCCTCTGCCATCCCTGCGCCTGCGTGCCCTGGGTGTATAGTCCGAACGCCTGTCCATGTCTGAGCTGGTCGCCTTTTGGGTAGGAATGTGGTTGAAAGAGCCTCCAGGGCTGTCGCTTTTAATTGATCTTGTGTCTGAGGCGCTGATGCTGACAGGTGTCTGTCCTTGTTCCGGATCGCCCCAGACTGTCGGCTCACGTCACCTTGGGTTCCATCTGCCCTTGCGATGGTCATGTAGCCAATGGGATCCGGGTCGTATTAGGATGTAGATCCCTGTCTTTGCTGGTGACATACCCATGGATGGAATTGAATAGGTCTGGTCCAGTACGTTGAATGTCGATGGATGGAAGCAAGGGGCTTTTCTCTGGCGTGGGTGTTTGGTGGCGTTCTCTGTGGTCCGTGGGTCAGGTTGTGACTGGGATTGTTGCGATCCTGGGTGGGAGTACGTTTGTGTAAAGGGTACCAGAAGCAGAGGGAGAAGGACGGCGCTGGCTGCTCTGATTGCAACCGCTATCAGAGGAAGACATGAAATGGGGGAATTAAAGTGCTGGCGGTTGTGTGAGCCGTGGAGGAGGACAGAGGAGAAAGGAGTTTGTTGGTCACTGTATTACGTTAGAAGAGGAGAGGAGCGAAGAATGAATGGTGTGGCACAACAGCTGCGATGGATGGTGACACAGGTATTTGAAAATGGCGGGGAATGAATACGCTGCAGCCCCATCGCGCAGCGCGTGCGCACAGGTCTTTTATTTGAATCCAGCTCCATGATCCATAAATGGCCAGTGCCCCAGGTCGCGCTGCTTTTTCAACAATTGGGACCGCACACACAAACACATAGACGCGTGATGATGACAACAGGCGCTCGCTGGCTCTCTTCCCCCTTCGGACCTCAGATGATGATACCGTTTGGATCCTCTATGGTGCGAACACCCAAAAAGAAGGCGAGAAACAAAAACACGAGGCCTCGTGAAGGGGCAGCAACCGAGTCTGGTAGGTTGCTGTTTCGGCCGGCTAATCACCGGCCGTCTCAAAGTGATAATGCGACTGGTTCAGCTGCCAAAAGAACCAGCCAAGGAAAACAACAAATACGAGACATTTTGACCTGACTAGCCCAACGAATTAGCACAGGCCCGCGGGAGGACGACTGCAATTTGCACCCACTTCATCTGTGCAGCTCTTGCTGCTTCTGCTCGTATCCGCGCTAGTAGAGAGAGATACAGGGCAACGGGTGTCCTAAGAGGCACACGCTGTTTATGCCGGTACAGAGACAAGCCATAGTCTCCGCTGTCTATCTGCATTGCTGAGTGCTGGCCCCGCTCTCCAGCCCAGCGTTGTCAGGGGCGGTGACGATCTAGCCTGATACCCTCGGCTCCCTCACGCTCCCCCACCCCCCTCCTTCCCCCCTTCCTCTTTCCCCTGAGCCAGCGGTCAAACTCGACTCGACTCGGCCCTGCCTAGCCCAATCGAACTGAACAGCCAGTCAGCGAGTTGATGTACAACATTAGGTCGCTCAATGCGCACCGCGTTCGAAGCTTAATTACAGTGTGTGGGTAGCATGCCGACCAAATATGTACTGCAATTACACACATTCAAATATGCAAATATGCAAGGAAGCACTCGAACTCCCCAAACTCTTCCTCTCGATTCATCGTCTTTCCCATTCGTGCACATCTCGCCATTGGCTTACATCCCTTCATTCCCTCAACTCATTCACTCCGCCTTTGTTTTAACCTCCCTTGCTCCTGTACTCCACTCGTTCCTTGATTATTATAATTATTCTTACTTTATTTCTGCATCCCTGCACCCTTTGTAATTTCACACCTTCCTGTTCCCTCCTCAGAGATGGGAAATGTATCAAGCTCAGACCACGACAGGGTCAACGAGCTGCTTTCCAGAAAAGTAAAGAGGCGCCCTGGCTCCGGCGTCGGTCGTAAAAAGAAGCACGAGCAGCAGGAGCCACAGCAACAACGGCAACAACAACAGGAACTACAATTGCTGCACCAATACCAAGAGGTTAATCAGCCTCAATTGCACCCTCAGCAGCAACTTCAGCACCCTGAGCAGAATCTCTCTGAACAGTTGGATGGTCCTGTCAGCCCTGTCCTCAGTCCCACTAAGGACTTTACCCGACAAGGATCATTCCATATCCATCGACAGAGAACGTCCCCTGACTCCCTCTCAAAAGTCCCTCAACCGTTGCGGAGCGATGACTTTGCAGCATCAAAGCGCACGTCTCTATCCCAGGCAGACTTTTATTCAAGGGCCAAGCCGGAGTACTCCCCAATGACACCGACTTCTCCCGCAACACCCTACTCCATAACATCGTCGACCACAGTGACATCCGCCAGCAACCAGATCTATGATTCCTATACCGTCATCAGCCTTCCGTCCAAACAGGAGCCGTCTCCTGGTTACTATTCTGCCCCGATTGTAATACCCCAGCAGATCTCGAATCAGGCTTCCGACAACAAACATGGGAGTGCGAACAGTCTAGACAACAACTTGAACGGCCCCTCAATTTCTCCAAGACATTACGACTTTGATCGCTACGCCCATTACCGCCAGCAACAGAAACAGCTCTCTTCGGATCTCCGTCTCATTGGGACTTCGCCCGAGGCCAAGGAATGGCTGAAACAGAAGCCAACAAGGTCTGCCACCCACTTGCTCCACCAGTACAACTTTCAGAGCCATCAATACTACCAACCGCCCGGAAGTGCTAAGGCAAGCAATGGTGTCTCTCGCAGCTTGTCCGCTCATGTATCGACTTCTTCAAAAAACAACCTTGGTGCGAGCGCAAACAACAATCCAACTGAATCTGAGAGCAACCATATGGTCCCTCCTGCGGAACAGGGACCCAGCTTCATTAATGCCGCTGCGGCTACAATCGCCACGGATGGTAGCTCTGGTATCCAGCTGGTGGCAGATCAAGGTCATGCGAGCGAAATTAAAGAGTCGGCATCTGCTCTTCTTCCACCAACCTTGCCTGCAGACCTGGTTCAGATCCACTTTGATGGACATTTTTATGGTCATGGCCATGGCATTTCAACACCATATACACCTCACCCGTCGCCAGCTGAGGGTCGAAGGAGAGAACCTGGACGGCTTGTGATGTCCCGCTCCAAGCTCGGCTCCCCAACTATGGCCGCAGCACCGATGTCTGCGCCGATCATAACCGGTGGTACATCGTTCGGTCAAGGTATTAATAGCGATACATAGACTAGCTTGTCTTACGCCTTCTTCATCCATTGTATTTTACCTGTATTTGTATTAAATATACATATATTAATGCCACCATTATAAGTTATAACCCACGCTTGAGGGTTTTCAGGAAATGTACCACATGTTTAGTCTTCTTTTACGTGGTTTTCTGTTCAATGTACTCGATGCATCGACCGCGTCGTGGGTATGATTATTCTTGAATGCAACAGCTGTTTCCTGCGTTACCTCGCACATCTTCCCACTTCTTCCTAATTAACCTAATGTTGTTTATCAGGTCTGGAGATTGAAATTGAGATCTGGACCTGATTGTGCGCAAACACAATTTGCCATAAAATTCTCGCTTACAAACGTTCTTTGCAAGCCGTTACGTTATAGTCTATTATCGTGGGAGGAGGATGCTCTCAAATAAGCCTAGGACGCGAAGACCCTGACAGTCAAATTTTCGGATGTTTGAAGTGTGCGCTGAGTACAAGTACAACCATCCGAGCTGGATAGATCGTGTAATGCAGCATGAACCACATGGTTCAAGCCATTATGACACCATTTCCAGCAGTGGATACTATTTATGACTCGAGGGGGAGAAATTGCTATGCCGCATCGTACCTGATAGACCGGGTTCATACTGGACCGACCAGCATACACTTATGCGTATCACTTATGCCGACTCGGACATTAATTATCTGATAGATTTCATGGCGGTGGTCATATTTGATGTTTGAATAGCAGCACTTGCAAGGGAATATTATGATATTATGTTCCCATGAAGGTTGAGCTGAACCCTTGACAACTTCCTACAAAAAATAACAATAAAGATAAGCCTATTGAATCTGCATCAGCTCATGCATTAACGACCTGCAGCTTGCAGACAAGCTGCAAAGCGCAAGCAATTGTAAGCGGACAAAAAAGAAAAAGGAAAGAGATAAAAAAGAGGGAGTACGTTAGTTTTTAGATAGTCAATTCTTTTCTTCTGAATAATACTCAACAGCAGATGTACCAACGGATGTGCTTCCGTTACTCTAAATAACGGCGGCTGGGCTACAGTTGCCTCTCTGTTTTGCAGCCCACACATTCTTCTTTCGAGCCGATCGGCTACTGGTAGACAGCACGAACTGACAATAAAGATACTAGCAGCAAACAAGAAGAGCATTGATATTGGATGCAAGGGACGAGGGTGCACAATCTCTTATCTCGATCACCAGTAATGGATCAAATAAAAACGACCAAGAGGCTCCAGGCGCCAAGTCAACTGAATTAGACAGGTTGCCAATTGTGTGTGCCCTAGATGTGGGTGAGTTGTAGAGGGGTGCTGTATACATTCTATCCGGTATAAACATGACTCGTGCGTGTACGTTGCCTCACAGAGGAAGATCGAAGGCAAACTATCGAGTGTTGTTCTGTAGCATGTGAGCATGTAATTATGCGTGCAGTTAGTAACGCGGTGTTTGGCAGACTGTATTGCGAGCAGAAACCCCAGCGGGATGGGACTTATTGTGTCCAGCAGGTTCATCCTCGGGACTGAATGCGACTGAATTGCCCCAGAGTATTGAATTACTATGCTGAGATGGAACATTGAGAGTTATCTCTTCTCCCTGACTCCCTCTTCTCTCTCTTCACTTGTCATATATACGCTATGTGTCTCCTTATTCAATCATCTCATTCTTTGCATTGTTTTCTTTCTTCCTTTCATTCTCGCTTCTCTCGGTTGCTTGCTAATCTAGTCCAAGAGGAGGTTGCGTTGTTTCTCTTTTTCTTTTCCCCTCTTCTTCTTTCCTTTGCTTTTGCCTTTGCCTTTGCCATTCCTTCCCCCCCCCCCCCCCTTTGTCCCTGGCCCATTGCTCTTTCTCTCCCCTTTCCTTTTCTCCGCCTCTCAGTGCAAGCTCCATCTCCGCCACTCTCACGACCACCCTCGTTCACCCTTCAGTCGCTTATCCTGGCTCCCTTTTCTTGAGGTCTAGTCATCAGTCATGGTGCTGTATCCCGTTTCGCTCCAGACATATCACTACCACTCGTCCCCTGCCTCGCCAGAACCCAACACTCCTCTCCCTGAGAACGAGCCAAAGGTCACTAAGATTACCAATTGTAGAATCTTACGCGACCACAAAATCGTGGAGAAGGACGCCATCTGGATCCAGAACGGAAAGATCATCGACCCCCACAAGTTCTTCTGGTATCAGAAGCGACTCCCCGACATCGTACTTGATGCCGAAGGGCTGCTTGTTGTCCCCGGCTTCATCGAAGCTCAGATTAACGGTGAGAAGACCCTCCTCAGTCGGCCCTTACCGTATCATCCCTTTCTCCTCCCCCCACAACATCAACACCAATTCATACACAAGAGACAGCTTTTGTCCCGCTCCAGTTTCCGTCCCTATTTCAGCTCATCACGTTTTGTATATACGCTGATGTGCATAGACGGCGCTCCGTTCTTACGTTAGCTCAGAGGACCTACTTCTAGCAAATAGTCATCTTTCTTGGAGACGAGCGTACACGCACCAAACAGTCATGCACATCAAGTTGACACTTCTACCCGATTCGCCCGGCTATCCACGCCCATCCATAAGTGTGCTCAGGTTCTCACAGATGCAGCTCTAGAGCGACAAAACACGTCAAACAGGTGCTTGGCAGCAATGCACAAGTAATCCTCGACTGCGCTCCAGCTGTTACTCTTTCCCAATGTCCCGCTGCAGAAGCTCTTTTCTTTAATTGTTCACTGCGAATATTTTTTTCGCGATCTATCTTATTGTATTCTTTTTCTAGCATAAACTATGCGGCATTTGTGGTTGTGGGTGAATTCGTTAGGCTCTTGTTTATCTGTTTACCTCCTCTTGCATCTTGCATAAGTACCTCGCTCTATCCCTTCTATGGCTCTGATACCGCTAGCTCCCTTTCCGATTTTTTTTATCTTGGTTTTTATCAAGATTTTGCTGCATCGTCTGTGTTCATGTCTTTTGTTTACTTGTGTTTGTTTGTTTGTTCTGGTTGAAATTCGCTTGTTGTGCTCTGTTTTTTGTGTATAGCGCGGAAGCATGAATATCGACTTTTATACATCATGTGAAGTAGCACTGTTTAACTCTTTTGTACACCCATATTGACGAACGGCGCGCGAGAACGATGCAGTAGCAAAGCCCATTCTTCGCCTTCCGACTCCTTGACGATGACCAACCTGTTGTTGCGGCTATGGCCACGAACATGATCGGCCGCATTGTCTTCTAACACCAGTATTCTTGATACGATATAGGCGCCTTCGGAGTTGATTTCTCGGTGCCTCTGGACCATGACACGTACGAGAAGGGTCTGCTGAAGGTCAACCGCGGCCTGCTGAAATACGGGACAACTTCATACTGTCCCACCATTGTCTCTTCCAGCGCCTCGGTCTATCACAAGGTGCGCCAACAGATATCTACCTTTGTTGTTGCTTTCTTTGTTGACACGCGAACATTTTTATTCTTTGTGATCGTTCCATGCATCTGGGTGAACAATTAAAGGCATGTTAACTGTGGTCCGTTACACCTCATATTAAGTACAACATACATTGTTGCTATCCACTCTCTCCCTGTCGACTCTTTTACGTCTGTTATTGGCGTCGCAAACAACCAACAGGTCCTCTCACACCTTAAACCAAGACCCGGCTCAGTCGAGACAGGTGCCACCATCCTCGGAGCTCATGTCGAAGGTCCATTCATTAATGAGGCTCGCATCGGCGCCCACGAGCTCAAGGTTCTGCAGGCATCAGCCCCAAACGGCTACAAAGACTTCAAGGACGTCTATGGCTTCGAAGGAGAGACTCCCGAGGCCCAAAAGAAGCTGAGCGAGGAAGACCTGCACTGCGTCAAGATCATCACCTGTGCGCCGGAGCTTGAGGGTGTGATGGACAGCATCCCCGATCTTGTCAAGGCTGGCATCACAGTCTCTGTTGGTAAACAGCTGCAGCTCAATACATCTGCAAAGCAAAGCATCTGTAGCAGCAAAGCATGGACACTCACTTTCACAAACAATCAATTGTCCTCTCATCCATTCCAGGTCACTCAATGGCGAACATCTCGCAGGCCGAGAATGCAGTGATGAAAGGAGCTACCTTTATCACTCACTTGTTCAATGCCATGCCTCAATTCCATCACCGCGACCCGGGCGTCATCGGACTGTTGGGCTCTAGGCTGGACTTACCTCGGCCTTATTACGGTCTCATTTGCGATGGCATTCACGTCCACCCCAACTCTATCAAAATCGCATACGACTCCCATCCGGAGGGTGTCATCTTGGTCACAGATGCCATGTCCGCCATGGGTCTTTCGCCAGGGAACTATCAGCTTGGAAACATGAGCGTCACGAAGGAAGACGACCGTGTCTATATCGAGGGCACTGACACACTTGCTGGAAGGTATGTCTCCTTTGCTCTTTATGATTTTGTCTGTTTGAGTTGCGTGCGAACGAGTTGAGTGAAGAGGGTTTGATAAAAAGAAAAAAGAAAAAAGAAAAAGGTTGAGACGTGCATGGGCTGCGTATTGCAGAACGCTGCAAAAACATGGAGTTGGGCGAGAAGCAGACCAGGAATCGCTTGCATTTTGGACCAGTATGTTCATGCAACGTTTGATCTCTCGTTCAAAACTATGTCTTACATCTGGTCACTCCTCACAGAGCGATGGATGATACCCACAACCATATCCATACCTATCATCTCAACAAGGATAATCAGGACAGTCGACATGGATTGGCTGCGGATGAGAAGGCGGGCGCTCTAAAGTTGGATGTCAATCGCGGACTTGAGATCAAGACGGTACCTCTTGGATCGGCCGACCCTACTTCTCCTTCGGACGACGTTCGTATCGAGGATCATACCGATGGCTTCCTGCCAACCCCTCCTGGTTCCACATCAATGTCTCCGCTAAAGATGACTCCAGGTCTTTCAGGAGACATCTTTTATCCCGAGTACTTCTACGCGCCTCTCAAGGCCTCCTTCGACACCTATGAATGGACAGTAGAGACGATCCATTATCACGACTATGAGGAGTACATGGTGTACGAGGACTGCGAGGAGCACGAGGGATCGGACCACAGCCTGCGAATCATCACTCTCCACTTGACGGACGACGACGAGTACGATGACGGTCTCGACGGGGTGTCCACGAGCGATACTGTCGTGCAAGGGGAAAAGGGAGCCAATCCAGATCTGTCGGAGGTCACCAAGAACGAACTTGAGAACCAAGCTCAAGACGACATTCAACGCCAGTACCACGACCATCATCACGACAATAAGGCGACACATGTTGCCAACAATATTATGCAGACAGCAATGGGCGCCAAGGAACGGGAGCGGGAGATGACTGATTGCGGATGTCACCATGGCGGCGGCGAGAGAGAGAGAGAGCGCGATAGCAAGCAGGGCTCGACTAAAGCGCGTATTGATTTTAATGACGACGGTGATCTCTGCTGCCCTTCTTCTAGTGTGATCACCCTGGACGCGTGCATCCGTAACTTTATCAAGTTTACGCACTGCTCTTTAATCGAGGCACTCGAGGCCGTGACATTGCATCCCGCTGTCCTGCTCGGCATCCAGGAGACCAAAGGCGTGATCAAGCCTGGTGCGGATGCGGACCTGGTCTTCCTCTCGGACGACCTATTTGTAAAGCGAGTCTTTGTTGCTGGCGAGGAGGTGGATCTCAACGCGATTGATGTGGAGACCACAGAAAAGTTTTAGAGCTCTCTTTTTCTTTCTTTCTTTCTCTCCCTCTCACACTCTTTGGCACCATCCTTTCTTTGCAGGCCCATTTGTTTCACCCAATGCCACATACCCCTCTGCGTATACTTTATGCATTGTAGTGCGCCGCTCGTATCCCCTACACACGCTCCTATTGAAAAGCAATGCAAAATGAATGAAAACTTGTTATGAAACGGATCGATTATAGAACGACACGATTGGTTGATAGAGAGAAACAAGTGCGTTTGTTTTGTGCAATGGACGTTACTCCACAAAAGGTCTGATTAAAAAAAAAAAAAAAAAAAAAAAGGGAGGGGTATAAGATATCATATCTGGACGATCTCACTGCAGAAACTGACGGATACCTCTTCGAATCAGCATCCAGGATCTGGCTAGATAAAAAAATATGTTGTTCTTTATTCAATAATAATAATGTTCTTTGAAAGTCGTCCCAGACTTTGAAATCCTCTATAAACTGGTTTACATTTGCAGGACGAGGACTGAGCCGCTAGCATTTCATTTTCGACAGAGGCTCACCCGACACATCGTGGAGCAATTGCATTGGGCTTTGTCTTGTCATCGCCTTGGGGCGTTCTTTTGGCCCTTTCCATCCTTCGTTGCCATTTGTTTTATCGCGAAATCTTGTGCGACGGTGTGTCTCAGTTGCAATTAGTCCTTTCAGTCCACCAAGATAGACTAGCGGTTCACAAGTCTATTGCCCCAGTCGCTGATGCTCTCAGTTTGTTTGTTTGACCTTCCAATTGTTTTTTTTTTTTTTGCTGTCTTTGGTTGCAGGGGAAAAGAATACAAGAATGATGCGGGATGGTGAGCACGAAGAGAGGACGGCAGTCAGCAGGACATGCCACAGTGCAACCAACCAATGCCAGATTTCTTTTTTTTTTTTTCCAAACTTCATTCACCATGCAACAGGTCTTGGGGAGTGGTAGAGAATGCGAACTCCCGGGTGGTTTGCTTTCTATTGGTTCGGAGAAAGCTAGCCTATCTTGACGAGGTCAGGAACAAGGAGGAAAAAGCATCAAATTAAAAAAATAGAAATAATAAAACGGCAGGGTGGAATGGGATATGAATGAAAAGGTACAATTTCCCCCTGGCGCGAGAGGGGAGAAAGGAGGATCAAAGTTCCGATAAGATCATCAGGAGGGCTGCCGTGGAAGAACTAGGTTTGCGGCTCTCAAACCTTCCTTGCCCACTCCCCCTGCCCTCTCTCCTCTTCTCATCATTCTTTGCCCTTCCACATGTAGTGCTGCGCTCCATCCAGCTGATTCTGACGGCGGACCAAAAAGAGGAAGAGGAAGGGCAGAGAACGGCAGCAATGGTGTGTAGTCAGCATGTATTTTGTATATCAATCGGAACGCAATAATAGTCTGCCCGGCTCTCTTAACCTAGTCTACCCACTTGCTAATAAGCACCCATGCTCTGTCCACATTTGAATGGAAGAGTGTGCCCTCCAGTTCGTTTGCGACTTGCTGCTGTGGTCGTCGCCTGATAGGTCTACATCAAGAACGATGAGAGAGACATACACACACTTAGAGTTATCTTTTGTTTCTTTTGTTGTAAGCCCAAAAGGACCTTCCCGTACCTGTTTTTTTTTTTTTTTTGTCTTTGTGTTTGCAAAATCATCCTTGTTGGGGCAACATGGCAACGATACTAGCCTTATCCCTACCATCTCTATGGCTTATAACGGATTCCATGCGAGGCAAGGTCGCTCTTGCACATCTCCACGCTCAAAAAGAAAAAAAAAAAGAGAGGGTCGTTTCTCGCTGTTATCCCTTGCTCCGTGTCAGTGTTGGAGATGAAGGTGCGGAGTAGCAACCATCGATGGAGAAAAGGCGGGGATGAGCAGTTTTTTCTTTTCTTTCAGTAATCTGGTCGTGTGTAAATGCTGTCCACGGTCAAAATGTCACAAATGGTTCAAGGTCAGCCCTCTACGCTCCGCTTAGGGGTAATTGCGTGCATCCTTTTTCTCCCTCCATCCAGGGTTGATGCTTCGTCATCGAGCGTGTCCCCATTACTTGTTGCTATCTGCAATGCCTCGCGAGAATCATCGGCAGCAGTTGCACAGCGGCTGGTTGGAGGATTGACCGGATTGACTATCGACTGCATATCAGCTGCATCGAATGCATCCACGAGATCCACGAGATGCGAGATAACGGACGCGCGATGGACTCTTCCTCCCCATCCCCCTGTGGGGAAATTGAATCGACTACAATAGTACCCTGCCGATCCATTATATTTCTCAGCCCATTATTTATGGACGCCGCATTTCTTGTGGTTTTGAATCTTTTTTCTCATCATCCTCATTCCTCCCATCGCCACACTCCTCATTCCTCCTCTCCCCCTTCACACCCAAGTGCACTCCAGTCTAGCCATGACCTCGTCCACCTTTCAAGATACCGTGAACCAGTTTGTGCTCTCCAAGGAGCAGGTCCAGAAGATCATCGATGGTCTGACCGAGGAGCTCGTCGAAGGTCTTTCCACCACCGATCCCAAGAACATCACCCAACAGCCCTCATTCATCACCCGTCTCCCCACTGGCAAGGAGACCGGTCTCTATCTCGCCATTGACATGGGTGGCACGAACCTCCGCACCGCTGCTGTCCACTTGCTCGGCGACGGGCAAGTCGGTGTCACTATGGAGAAGCACGAGATCACTCAGGAGCTCAAGACCGGAACCGGCGAGGCCATGTTCGACTGGATTGCCGATTGCACTGCCGCACTCTTGAAGAGTGTTGCCCTGGATATGGGCGATGCCGAGCTTCAGATGGGTGTCACTTTCTCCTTTGCTATCCAGTAAGTTACCCCCACAGTGCTATTATTTTATGCAATCTGCTTCTCGTCCCTGTGCCAGGTGCATCATTTACTGGTGTATGCGAGCACAATTGTCCCCCATTTTGTTCGGTCAATTTCAAAATCTATAATGGGACAGCCTCTTTATTCACACCTGTTGTTTGTCGTGATAACCTAGGCAGACCGCCATTAACCGCGGCAAGGTTCTGGCCATGGGCAAGGGTTTCGATCTCTCGGATGTGATGGGCAAGGACCTCAAGGACCTCCTCGAGGACGGATTCACCCGCAAGGGCTTGAACGTTAAGGTTTCTGCCATCATCAACGACACTGTTGGTACCCTTGTCTCGCACGCCTATGTTTCGCCGTCCACCAAGATCGGTGTCATCCTCGCCACTGGCACCAACGCAGCCTATATCGAGCGTGCCTCCGAGGTCTCCAAGTATAACGGTCCTGCCTGCGACCAGATGATCCTGAACACCGAGTGGGACGCCATGGGCAAGGCTGAGTATCTTCCCCAAACAAAGTACGATAAGGAGATCGATGCTGTCTCGCTTGTTCCTGGATTCCAGGAGTTTGAGAAGATGGTCTCGGGTCTATACATGGGAGAGCTCGTCCGTTTGGCCCTCGTTGACTTGATTCAGCAGAACGCCATTCTTGAGCACCTCGGCGGTAAGGTTCCCGAGTCTCTTCAGCCCCGCCTTTCGTTCAAGACCCTGTTCATGTCCACGATCGAGTCCGACCACAGCTCCGACCACACTGGTGTCGACAAGGTCTTCAAGACCAGTTTTGGCATCGAGGGTTTGACCAACAAGGACCGCTCGCACATCTACCAGCTGATCCACAGCATCGGAAAGCGTTCTGCCACCATGACCGCCGCTGCCTGTGTTGCTCTCCTCAACAAGGCCAACGGTGCCTCAGTCAAGCTTGACGACCCCAACGAAATTACCACCATTGGTATTGACGGATCTGTCTTTGAGAAGTACCCTCACTTTTCTCATAGCATGATGGATTCCTTTATCGAGATCATGGGCCAGGACCGTGCCTCACGCATCCGCCTTGAGCTCGCTCGCGATGGTGGTTGCATTGGTGCCGCCTTGGTTGCCATGGTTGCCCATAGCGGCGGAGCTGTCTAAAGAGTGACAACGCCCCTGTCGTCCTATACTCCATATATCACCCCTCCATAACCATTAGCTTGTAACATAATCTTCCTTCCCGCCATAGTCGACATTCCTCCCGTTGTCAATTCGAATAGCAAAGCCGTTTATACATAAAAAAAAAACTATTCTCAACCGCTTTTATAACAATTTGTCTCTCGAGTCGATTGACCTTGCGAATCTGTCAGATTTACTATCAATGATTCAGTCCTCCTTTCCATCAAAGCAAAACCGATCCACAGTCACCAGTTGACAGGTCACACGGGCCTGCCCCTGGGCCTGTGCAACAATTGCCACACCTCATCAGTGTGTTAAAAGCTGAAAACACCTTGTTGCAAGAAGGGTATCTTCCCCATCCCCTCTATTGTTGTCAACCTGCCCTCAACCGCTTTCGTTGGAGATCGTAAAAAAGTTGGCGGAATGCTCAGAAAAGGAAGAATATAATCTCACCCCCCCCCCCCGGAAGATTTTATTCTTACACCCCCGTGAGATTATCCAAAGCACATAGTGAAATTTTATTCTCACCCCCCCGTAAGAGCTTTAATCTTACACCCTGTTATTCTATTGCGAAACAAAGATAATCTCACGGGCATATAAAAGAGGCTTTATGATCAATACCTGGGTTTCTAATTTCTTATGCACCTGACACCCCGTTATCGTCGCCCAGGTGTGTCAAGAGTGCAAACTTCAGTACATCTCTCTCTCTCTCTCTACCAGTGCGCACTTCTGTACACCTCTCTCTCTATACCAGCCCGCACTTTTTTCCTTCTGCCCCGACCACGCGCCACCGTACCCAATACATAATTGTTAATAGATTGCTCTTGCTCCTATCACACATCTAGTCCCATCACCTCAATTCGTTTAAGGATCTGGATCTTTTTAGCCATCGCTTCCTTGATATAGGCTGTAGTTCAGCTCCGTCCTCTGATATCAGGTGTGTTACCCTCTTGGCACACCTGGGCGACGCACCAAATTGCTGATTGCCAGTAGTGTGGAGTTAACGGGGTGTCATACTAGGTCTTCATGTAGATTCACATATCAGTCTCCTCGTCGCTGGAGAAACTACCCCTTTGTCCATTCCAATGTGAGGCAGGATTAAGCCAAATTCCACTCCGAAGCTGAATGACGAGGTGCCATGGAAAAGAAAAAACAGACACTCGTTTGTGATCATATTGGAGTAGTACTTTACGACTCAAAATCACATCGTGGATCTTCGCAAAGGTTTAATGCTAGATTTAGTATGCTATGATGTCGTCAGTGCTTCGCCCAGTTTCTACAATATTTCAATGCACTGTTGACACCGATGCAACTAGTATATAAACCCTATCTACGCATAGAACTAGGTAGCAGCATTCGCCCAATAAAATACCCTTTTCACCCTAGATCCTTCAACGCCTCAGATACTCCAATCGTTTGCAAGCATGTCGACGCGTAGGGAGTTACCTAGCTTTTACTGCCATGGAAAATGATAAGTAAGGCGAGACCATGCGCTTTTCCGTCTCTACATCTGCTCAATTTTTATATCGATCTACACTCGCTCCACCAAACCGCCATTTTATTTTACTTATTTTCAGTTGGAGACATACGACTAGAGGGCCTGAGTGTTCCAAAGCGAGGGACGTCAGAGCGCGTTCTCTTTCTACTTGTAGAAACCGGACTGGATGGTCCGGTGTCAGAAGCAGAAGCAGAAGCAGAAGCAGAAGCAGAAGCAGCTTGCACAGCTTGCACAGCTTGCCCCTACCCTTGACCTGCTGCAGTCTGGGCAATAGAGCTCAGGATCCGTTGCTCCATGGCCGTGATCAGCGTGCGCTGTTGCTCTTGATGCGCCATGATTTGCATGCGCTGTGCATGTTGCTGTTGAGTATTTGCAATGCCCAAGCCCCGCATGAACTCTTGGATAGTTGCACCAATCACTCTTCCTGAATCAAATGTCATTGAAGTAGCCGAAATGTCGTTATTGTTAAATATGAGTGCATTGCTGCCGCTAAACGCCTCATCGCCTTTGTCGTTCTCCTCATCAACCTCGTCATCAGATGTACCTGGGGTATTGACGATCTCCAAATCATCAGGGAGAACTTGAGCGCTGTCAATAAGTTGAAGCCCTGGAATGTTGATCGGGATGTTGGAATGGGCGCAGACCCACTTGCAATGCTTGCTCAGGCTATCTCTTGTCAGAAATGGTTTTCTGCAGACGCAGATGAAATCCATGCTTCTATCCTCGCGCCTTTCAAATTGGACGAACACATTTAAAAGGATGTTTTTCACCTGAACTGGCGCCGTTGAATGCAACCGAATTAAGTAGTTTTTGCCTGACTTGGTCAATGGTACAGGTCTGTCCCCGTCCCTGACCAGGAAACCCTGATCAATGCGACACTCCTGTGATTGGATCGCCGCTTCCCTGTCCAGCATTCCCTGGACACAGTTGTAGAATGTACATTCGTTTCTCTGTACCTTGATCATTGTAGTTAGTGTAGCGTGTAGTGGAATGCTGGCGAGGAAGGTAATTTGCAACAGTGATGTTGGTTGTAGAGTGTTAGAATGCGCACAGAGAAAAAGTTGCGAGAAAGAGTGCATTTCACCATGTCCTCCACCTTCGTAGAATATATAACTCGCCTCATACTCTACAAGTTCTCTTCTTGACCATATCTCCATGACCAGGTAATCTCGAGCAACGGCCATGTTGTGTCATTCTCTCTCTTCGTCCAATTGCTTTACGCCCGTCTGCAGCTCGTCCTTTTGCTCGTCCTTTTGCTCGTTCTCATGCCTATGCCACACTCCTGCACGCCTATCTGGAGCTCGTCCTTTTGGAGCTCGTCCTCTTTTCTTTTTCGAAATGTGCAAGGCTGTTTGCATGCAATGCTAGACTTTAAGTCAGGATGGTTAGGGTTTGTCTTATGTAGAAAGAAAAGAAGAGAGATTGCTAAATCACGATGGGTAATTAATGGCCATAAGTATTAGCAGCATCAGCAATATCACATATTCACTAGAGTCCGTTATACAAGGCTATAGTCTATGGTCTATCCAGATCGGGTATCCGGAGAATATCCTGAGATACGTCTTACTCATAGACTAGATACTCATAAACAATTGCACTCAGTAAACTCTTGATGCTCACCTTGCGCATTATCCAAAGCGCCTTTGCAATTGAGGAACATTTAGAGGTATTGCCACGCGTTTGCTTTTCAACCTTCTTCCATGATGATCTGAGAAGTGCATCTGGACTTAACTCACATATTTGACGCTCCGAAACTAGGAACTAGGGGATTCATTCAATTGGGCTGTAAACGTTGGATTATTTTTCGATGCACAGGACAAGAGCGACGCGTATGGCGCAGCACGGAAGGTCGTTTGTAGCAACCGGCTTCTGAATAATACCTCTGATTGACTAGAAGCCTCACTGCTTACCATGGCAAGAGGCAACGGGGTAATGCGGCGTAAGGGGTTTAATAGCGAGTTTTGTAACTTCTATCATTAGTTCTATTTACAATAGGAGACACCACGCGAATACAGGACTTCGGCAAGGGCGTGCTTCGGTCACTTACTGGTTCGCGGTGCAGGGTCCTCCTTTAGATCGGAATGTATGAACACAAAGGTAAAATAAACTAGACGAAAATGGAAGGAAATAATATAGGGTCTGTTCAGCTAAATGGTACGAGCTAGGACTATATTCCTTTAGGAATGACTGGAGTAGTTGCAAAGAGTTCGCATATGTGATATCCGATGAGGCGAGGAGTCGTGACAATGAAGTCCACCCCTCTGGAGTCGTTGTATGCCAATATTCGCTGATCAGGCCTCGGTTGTACCTTTATAATGCCGTTTGACGAGGGTGGGGCGATGACGGATGCTCAATGAGACGATCAGCGATCGGGGAAGCGCTGCAGGGCAAGTACAATGTCTAAATAAGAGCGATTGACGGTGCAAAGGTGACGAATGATCAGGATTGGCATTCCCTATTGACTGTATCTCGTTGTGTGGATTGCTGACGGTGGTAGTCAGTACCTGTCGTTGATGCGGTGTTATCCGGACAATCTGGACGAATGCAATGTGTGATACAAATAATTTTAGGAAAGAAGACTCTGGTTCAGGAACCAGACCGCTTATTCTTTTATTCTGGGGCGGTGCTCTTTCCCGTAATCCAATATCAACTTTGCGAGGCCAACCGAATGATTCTCGTTTACTACACCACAGCATCCATTTGCATAGGCCAACCGAACTGGGAAAGCCCTCCGCGAGTCTTTTCCGGCATCACTACTCTTAAGACTGGACCCAGCCGAAATCATTGTGGTTTATTCCATCCACAACAAAATCCGTCGCAGTCAACTGGAGTTCGTTGTGGTTATGGCTGGCCATTCATATTTTTGCACCTGCTTCTCGCTGCAAAACACGGAGATTGTGTGCAGGCACTTCTTTTGCGTGATGCAAGGGGACATCAGGTGCAAGTATTTGATCAGCCTCGTTCTCAAGCGCTGGTTCAAGGAGCAGTGGCAGAATCTCGAAGGTTTCGAAACGAAAGCTGGTTCAAAGCTCCTAATCGCCTACCCGCGTTACATCGCCTCCACCAGGACTGAGGGTCACCCCACCAGGACCGAGGATCACCCCACCAGGACTGAGGATCACCCCGCCAGCACTTGTACAAGGATTGTGCACACCTTGTTCTCTACAGAATCCTCGGCACTACAGCCAAGGAAGGAGGAACGACTGAGGATAAAGCGGTACGCAGATGTTACAGGGATCGTGAGAGAGCTGGCCATCATGGGGACAGCCGATCCAGCAATGCGATGCAAACGCTCAACAACCTCCCAATCCCGCTGAAACGGAGACGGGACTCATAGAGCTACAGGACGCGTCTGACAACGAAGCAGGTCTTAGTGTCACTAAAGACCCACTTGTGGTGAAGCCGAAGGGGCGTCCAGGAGCCAAACGTATCAAGATCAGCAGTGAGAGGTCGCGACCATCCAAAGAATTCCATCCTGCTGAAACAGACCTTGAACAATAAACGAGTGATTTTTTTTTAAACGAGGCCCTACAGACTATCCTCGTGGGAATATGGCGCTCACCTCCCCGTGGAAAAAAAAAAGCTCGAATTATTCTTACTGGGGTGTGAGAATAACCCGCTTACACCCCTGTGAGATGACAAAACGAGGGATAATCTCACGGGGAGGGGGGGTGAGATTATATTATTCCCTTAGAAAATTATTAAAATGTCTGCGCCCAACGCGGGGGTCGAACCCGCAACTTTCAGATTAAAAGTCTGACACTCTACCGATTGAGTTAGCCGGGCTTTTCGATGGTTTTACGTTTGAACATTAGAAATTTATATTCCCAAAAGAAATTTTAGTGTTTCTGCTGTGAGGGGTTTTTTTCCCGCCTTTTTTTTTTTTTTTTTTTTTTTTTTTTTTTTTTTTTTTCAGGCGCCCAGTACTGCGGACAATGGGGTACAAGTTGTTCCCAGCCTCGCTGCAATTGCTACCAGCAGAGATGCTGCACTCTCTCGCCTCGCAGACAGGTGTGCATTGAAAATCAAGGGCGCCCATGCTGCATACAATACCGAAAGCGCCGCCATCACCAGCGATTTACAACAAAAGGTCAACAGCGTGCACCGTGCTTCGCGCGCCAATCACAGGCGATACGAGATAGCCAGCCGTACCTCTGTCCGCAGCCTTTCACCACTCTTGGATCTTAACAGCGCGCAGTATCACACCGTCCTGGCTCGCCTACGAGGACGCGCACAGGCTGCCTTAGACTCTGCTGCTCGGCGCAGAAAAGCACTTTTGCAAGACATCAACTCACAACGCGCACGTGCATCGCAAGCGATACATGCCCAGTACGGTACCCAGCAGGCACGGGAGCGCCGACGCCTGCGTAACAGCGAACGTCGACTACAGCGTCAACAACAACGAGAGTTGCGTCTACTGCCTCAACGCCAAACGTATCCATTGCTGCCTGTACACCAGCTGTCTGAGGAGGTGGGCACATTATATCCAGACAGAACCACAATTGGACCAGTCAGCTTATCACACGCTGAGGCAGTTGCTGTGTCACAGCTGCGAGAATCTCCTGTCGACAACACAGCACCGCGAGTCATCTCCTCCGATGGCTCTTTGATTAACACTGGTCAAGAAGACGTAGCCATGGCCTTTGGGGTCGTTGATCGATCGCAGCCCGTGGTCAGGTGTGTGCAGGGCCGCACAGACGGGTACGCTTCTTCAGCAAAAGCAGAACTCATGGGTCTCCTAGCTGCCATCCTATCTGCACCACCAGACCAAAACATTATTGTGGAGCTCGACAACCAAGCGGTCGTGCAACAATACCAGCAGCTTGTGCGTTCCCGTGCGGACACGTTACCTCGTAAGCGGTTCCGTAGTACGTACTCTGGACACTGGGCAGCACTACACAAAATTGTCCAGGATCGGTCTGGGTCGGTGGAGGTGAGGTGGGTCCGTGGGCACAGCACCAACACTGGCAACAATCTTGCAGACACTGTGGCGACAGCCGCCGTCCGAGTCGAGTCAATGCCCTGGTCGGTTGATTTAAGCGAGCAGCAAGACATCCGCTTTTTTGCACATTGCCACGATCATCTTGTGGAACATGATCTGCGGCAGCTACTCAAGCAGCAGACGACAATCAGGCGTCATCAGGCCTGGACAACCCAACGTCGTGTCAAGAGAGCGATACCAGATCTTGCCGACGTGGAGTGGCGGTCCACCCTTGCCCATGTCCACGACAAGCGCTCTGTGCACACGTTCTTCAGCAGTGCTGCTGATACGTCCCAGAGGACACATCATATTAAGAAGCTGCATGGTATGCTGCCTACCCTGAATACCATGAAGGCTCGCCACCCGAGTCTATATCCTGACCGTGTCTGCTGCGTCTGCGATGTTCAGGACGAAGACAACCATCACCTGTGGACGTGCAGTGCTACTAGAGATGTCCACAAGGAGATCTGGCGCGAAGGGCTACAGCAGATTGATAAGTGGGGACGAGCTGCAACGACCGCATACAACAAGAACAGCAAGAAGCAGCAAGAGCGTGATAGGATCCGCGCTGGAGCCACCGCTGCTGCACCGAAACCCATTCGATGGGTTTGTCCTAACAACGAGACCCACATCCGAGGTCTATCCTGTATCGCCGGGACCCGATCAATGCTCAAAGGCGACGAGTATCATGACCGCTCTCCGGATCTGACCTGGAGCATCAGCGATTTATGCCGTGGCATCACACCCGTAAGCCTTATCAAGGAGTGGGGCAGTCTATTTACCTCGCCATCGTCGATTGCGCGCCAGGTCATTCACAAGTTCGTCGGCTTTATTGAGGAGAAAGCTACGGAGCTGATCTGGAAACCACGCTGCAAGGCCACTATTGCTCGAGAGCGAGAATGGGGGATCACAGCCAAGATGAAACGAACTCCATACAAGGGACCGAGAGGGGACTGGAGTGATGGGTATGGATACATTAGCGACGATGACCAATGTCCGTGTGGTGCATTACTCGCTGACCATGTAAACGGGAGCTGCCCTGGCCCCGTGCTTGACCCAGACGCAGCGGATCGGACGCTGCTGGATTGCCTGCAAGGGAGGAGGCGGTTGACAACCATGGAGGGGATGGGGAAGATACCCTTCTTGTAACAAGGTGTTTTCAGCTTTTAACACACTGATGAGGTGTGGCAATTGTTGCGCAGGCCCTAGGGGCAGGCCCGGGGAATGTGACCTGTCTTTTGGCGACTGTGGATCGGTTCCGCTTTGGTGGTGAGGACAGCGATAGTAGATCTTTGCTAGTTAGTCTGATAGATTCGCAGAGTCAATTGACTCGAGAGACAAGTTGTTATAAAAAAAAAAAAAAAAAAAAAAACTCATTGCCGACATTGCAGGCGATGAAGAAACGACATCCAGATACCTACCAAACGGACATATGTCGTAGGTGTGAGAGGGAACCAGAGACGAACGATCATCTTTGGCGTTATTCAGCTACCTTGTGCGACCAGCGACAAGAGTGGAGGGACGCGGTGGAGGAAGTGGAGTTGAATGGATATCGTGCATGGAGACAGGCAGTGCGAAAATGGGAACAGGAGAGAGAGGAGGCCGAACGGAAGGACAAGCCCTTCACTGCGACTTGTCCCAACTTCTCGGCAACAGGAACGAACGCTATCTGGGAGTCAATGCAGTGATTCAGGGGACGGCGGAAAGACGAGGGACATATCGGGTTGCGGAAGGAGAGGAGCCGGAGAGTGAGGCAGATTGGGAGGTCAAGGAGTTATACCGAGGTTTGGTGCCAATGAGACTCATTGAGACCTGGAAGCAGCTATTTACCACCACCAAGTGGATTGCGACGATCATGGTGACAAAGTTCGTGAGCAGGATCGAAGAATTTGGCAGGACCAAGATATGGAACAAACGATGCGAGGACACTATCGCCTGGGAAAAGTCAGTTGGAATCACCTTCATGAGCAAACGCGCCGGAGGACGCAACGGTGATCGGGGACACCAACGTAGTGTTGGTGATTTCTCTGATTTGAAAGGGAGACGGTTACTTGCAACGGAGATCCAGGAAGGTAGACGGGCCGCGGATTATAGGGTGCTACAGCATTGCTTGGGGCGAGGGAAGTTGGACATAATGGAGGGGTTATTCGGTTTAAAAACAACTTTATTAACATTGGATCTGGATTAGGAGACGTGTATCGCGCAACAGGTCACGCAGGAGTTAGGTTAGGCTAGCTATGCGACATGGGTTATGAATTTGACGCCTCAAGCCAACATAGTTGGTAGGGGATGCGGCTCTGCCGTGCATGGAAGGTATCTATGGCTTCAAAGTCTTTGCGGACCATGCGTCTTGTGCTCACGGGGATTTATGTTAATAATAAAAAAAAAAAAGCCAGGTGTTGCTGGAGTTCTTATCGGCAAATGGCTGTAAAATGGGTCAATTTTACTAACACGGTATCGTTTTATTAGTTGCCTCGGCCCCGATAAATATATCCGCATCCATAAGCCATGCTTCAAATGAAGTGCAGATTGGGTCGAGAGAATAGTGGACAGGTTTTAAAAGTGAATTGTCACTGATGGAATTTGAATAACTGATCCTGTCCAAGATCAGGGGTAAAGGATTTTCTGTGGGTTGATGTCTGTCTCGCATCGTGGCAATGGCGTATCGACAATTTGCTCCGTCAGTGCAAGCGCAACTATTTTATATAGAAACGAAACTTTGGTAAGATATACAAATGAGAGGTTCGTTATTTGTTACAGATTATATGATATATTATTGATGGCGCACCTGTGGTTACTGGGGGACGTCCAATAGACTTGTTGTGCGCGTTGATCTTGATAAGATAATTATCATAATACCTGAGCAAGGACGTATGTGTGTGTATTAGTGCTAAACCCGTTGAACGAGTCATTTTTACATAATATTCAAACTTCTGCTTACCCTCGACCATGGCCAAGTCGCGTTCCTGTGTGGTCGAACGCAAGTCCAGGCATGACAATAAGATCAAGTCCATGCAAGGTATCCAACGCTAAAAGTGTATAGTCGCAGGAGAAATGATTATAAAGCCCTGAGCTGGGAGGTTTTTTTTGGTCATAATGAGCTACATGACGACAGTAGCGCGTGTCGAGCGATGATGAGGTGTCGATGTTTACCGTTTTCTCTTGATTCATCGTGGGCTGGTTCAGGGATATTCCAGCTATTCTTGGGCAAGGACATAAAGTCTTCCCAGGATTCAATCTTGACCATATCCATATTGCTGCCTTTACACCTAGGAACATAACATGATTTGTCTAGGAGGACATATATAAATATTTGTGTATATCAAAAAGGGTCAGAAAAGAGTAATCGAAGGATTGTTCTGGGATTAGGACAGGTTCACTTACTCTGTTCCAACAGCGTCCGAATGATATCTGGAGTAGAGATCTCGCCATGCATACTGATATACACACTGACGTTCTGACTTTCTTTGAACACGGGCATCTCCAAGAGCTTCTCAGTCACGATCAAGGCTGAGAATCAGGAAATACCCATTAATACCAATAATCAGGATTATCAATGATGGATGTGCTCGAATGGCGAAACAACGGGTTTAAAGAGGAGGGCTAGCGCGCGGTAGAAAGGATGAGAGGGCGTTTGAAGCTCAAAAACGAGACAACACGACTTACACTGGCGCCTGATCTCCTCCGGCGTGAGAGCAGCGAGCTTCTGTCGCAAGTCCTTTCGGATCGTATTCTTGAGGGCACGCAATGCAGGATTCATGAGGATCGAAAGGAGGAAATGCTTAATGATTCAAAGATGGTGTCTATTGTAATGAGTGCTCGCATGCTGCTGTACAACCAGCGGGTTTCAGGTCGAGGTATGGATTGAGTATGTGACTCTTCATCTAGTGGTGTGGGAAGCGCCCAGGACTTGGACACATTTCTGACAGGGTTCCGGAATAGAAAAGAGCAGGTAAAAACGTTGCAGGTGGAAAGCGCGTTGTTTGCGACAACACTGCCTCCCTGGCACGTTGTAGGATTGCATGCATCAGATTCATAGATCCGGCCTTGTTTATCCTGGATGATCCAAGAGCTCAATAGAGGAGATCGTCCGAGGACGCCCAAGAGAGATGGAAAGAGAGGAGTTATGGTGCATCGCATGTGTAAATATAGCGCCAAACAGTAACTCTTTCATGATGGGGCTCCTCGTTGTTTTGTACGTACGTGTTTACTTGCTTCAAAATAATGCCCCGACGTATTACAAAACCCTTTGCGAAGAACCTTGAAGAGATAAAAGGACATTCCAACCACGGACTAGCCTGGTTGTCGTATTGACAAATGCATACACATGCATGAACTAAGTCCATCTATATTTGCCGCCAAACAGGGACCTTTAAATCATATAAAGCTTTATATTATATATTGGTTCGAACCGTCATCTTGGTAGGTACCATTCAGCTCTCGATTTTCTTATTGGGGTTTCCTCGACTTGAATTCAGGAACGGGAAATAGTGTGATGGGGATACTTCGGTGGCGATCAGGAAGGCACGGTGCTTTGAGAGTACCTGCGCTAGGGTGTATAGCTCTTAGGACACCCGTTCGTCCACATCAGTCCATGTCTGCTCTCAGTCTGCTTCGCTGCTCTCTCGATTTGATTGTCTTCATTTTTTGTTGCATTGCTCGGTCCACTCCCTGGTGCTTGAACTGCCACTTCATCTGGGATTGCATTTGCAAGAGGTCTCCATCCAAAGAGAGCCAAGCAAGTCAATGAAGATCCAATTCAACCCTCGAGTAGTACATTTTTATACCATGCTAATATATAGCCTTCTTTTTTGTTCAGGTGGGGAAGCAAGCGTATTAGTTTTCTTTACATCTTTCACTGTCATCTTTCTCCCCCTCGCACCCCCTGTCTTTCTCGCCTCTCTCTTTCTCTTTTTCTCTTTTTCTCTTTTTCCTTCTCTGTCCCCCTTCTCTCTCTCCCTCTTTCTCTCCCTCCCCTCTACTCTCCTCTCCCCTCCCTCCCTCTTTCTCAAAGATACACCTCTCATTTGCCACTACTTCGGTTTGTGTACACAAAATAGCACTCCTCCTCCCCTCTTGCTTGCTACACACCTCCTTGCACCTCCTCCTTCCCATTCCCCCATCCTGCTCCTCAATTGCTCACCAAAATCCATCTCTTTTTTTTTCACTTCCCTCCCCCTCCTTTATTATTTGGTTTTTCTCGTCCTTGTCCATCGCCTGGTCGATAAGTCGTCAGCTCTGGTCTTCATTCCCTTCTCCTCCTTCCCTGTCGCTCACGAACGACTAAACGTTGTGAGTATATCCGTGCTCCGTGCTTGGTCCCATCCCCAGTTGAATCTTGTTCTGTAACAGAGGCGCCCGTCTACACCACCCCTTTTCATCGACATGAACAGGCGTTGTCTTGCCACTAGTAAAGACGACCCAGAAAAAAGAGAAAAGGGTGTACCCCCAAAGCTGCCTGCTTGATCCAGGCACACCCACTTCAACGAATACATTTTTTTATGCTCTTTCCTTTCCCGTTTCGAACCCGCCCTCTCCAAAACATGCTACACTGCGATTAAAAAGACCTCCGCGTCTCACCCGTGCATGCAGCTTTTCTGCAGCAACTGTATGCATCTTCACCCTTTCCTTTGCTGGTCCCCAAACCTCCAAGCTCCTATTCTCTCAATCCATCGCATTAGTCGTGCTTTTTATACTGCGTTCAAACTGCTTTCCACAAAACACCACCGTTATTGCCCTCGACATCGCACCACTGGGTCGACCTATTCATGAGCCTCAGGTTGTATCAATGTGTGCCTAAAGAGGCTTATTGAGGCAACCGACACAGCACCTGCGGCACTACAATCACCACTGCTAATCTCCCTAGATCTCGACATATCCTTTGCCAATGCACCTTCCTGACATTTCCTTCCTTGGTTCCTTAGACACAGTTTCGGTCCACATCAACCCGCAACGTTACCAGCCATACCACGGCAGCTTTGATTCAAATTCTGGAGCACAGCACCACCAACACCCCTCACGCAACGATCAGTTCTTTTGCCATTACCAGTGCACACATTCAAATCACAGCACAAACCTTGTGCCTGAACGCATCAGTACACCAGTATTGCAGGATACAAATTCACGGCATCGGTTCCCTGACATTTACTCTACTTCTACTGTCACTTCCGTCTCGTCGTACACTCTTTGCGTCGATTCTTCGCCAGAAGTCCATCACGCAAGAATTCCTTCGCTACAGCATTCCTATACACCAACCTTACAGCAGCCACAACAGCAGCCACGACAATATCAACAGGAGGAACAACAGATTGGCGTTTGGCACAAAATCCCTCCGCACTCGGTGCGCGCCTCAGCGATTGGCATAGACGGACCGGTCAACACACCATCAGATACCTTCACGTCGAATCTTGCGCCATCACAGATATCGTGCGCGAGTCCAGATGAGGCTGCCGCTATGGGCAGCGACGATGGCAACAATATGTTCATGAACCCATGCGCCGACGGTGAATTCATCGTACGAGCACTGCATGAATACCATACCGATAGCGTAGGACATCTCTCCTTTTCACAGTTCCAGTATATCAAAGTTACACATCGAGAAGACTCCGGATGGTGGCTAGGCGAGAGCGAGAACAATCGTGGTTGGTTTCCAAGCAACCGCGTCGAAAGAGTCTCTTCTGTCTACGAGTCTGAGGTAAGAAAATGGATCTTCCTAGCCTCACGTGCGTGCAACCTCAACGCCCGTACTATACTACTTAGGTAACTGACATACAATGTTTTTTTTTTTTTTTTTTTTTTTTTTCGCTCCCTCTCTCTCCAATGTTGCTTTCTTTTCTCTCAGTATCTTTCGCGCCCAACATCAGTAAGTCCGCAGCCATGGAACGATATCTGCGAAAGCCAGTTCAACAACAAGCAGATTGAATATAGGTTTTTTTCTAATCGATGTTCTACGCAGATTACATCGGAAGACTACGATCAAATTAGGACCGGATTGGACGGTGTGGAGACCCAGTTCTTGGGAGAGCCAGTAACAGAATCAGTATCAGACAGCATGCACTTGGATTGGGGCGCTATATCCCCAACGATCGGACGGACCAGAGCGGGACAGCTAGCGTTTCCTCCTAGTCAACTTTCAGCACTCCAACCATACTATGGTCCAGATTCACCACCAATAAGCGACAGTAGTAACACTGACCTCCCCAATGCGTACTCGGAATTCATTGCGGAAGTGACACTTTATGTGGATGAGCTTAGAGAGGCCGCCTCTGATGGACAAGTAGACCGATACCAGCCCACGGTAGCCAACATCATTTCGTGCGTCAAAGCTTTACTGATCTTCACCAACACTATTGCACGGGATAGTGAAGTTCTGCGGACATATCCGGAACTCGAAAAGTCAAGGCGTATCATTCTTCGCGCACTAGGCAAGTTGTATTCAAAATGCCTTGTCGCAAATGGATCGCAGGCGCTAACTACATCGAGGCAACGCCAGTTCGCGGTCGAAAAGCTGGGGATATTCAGCGGGCAGGTCCTTGAGGGGATCACCGAATTTGCGACACGTTCGCGGGAGATTGGCTTGAGAATACGGGCTGAAATCACGGCAGCATCACCAAAGCGAGGAGAGTTGGGTATTATCATCCCGAGCACTGGGGACATTGAAAATTCTCCACCATCTTCAAACTCACACGGATCACACGGAAAGCGCAGGCGTGTATCTCGAGCGGGATCCGCGAAGGGATACAAGTCGTTTAATGCGGTTCGTCAGTGGAAGGCGGAGCATGTCCAAAAATATGCTACAGCAAGGAAAGCAATCGAGCTATTATTGACCGAGTACATGGACTGTTTGAACGGAGAGAGCGGCAGCACAGGCCTGGATATGATTTTGAGAACGACGATCCAAGCAGCCCAGGCAGTCGAGATTTTCCTCGCCAGCGCGGAAGAGTTGAAGACGAGGACCAGCATAAAGGAGGAGAACGACTACGCGATCCATAGAGCTCAACTTTCAGCGACATCGACTAAACTCTTCGAGTATATCAAGTCATTGCAGAGCGGAGGAGGAGCCATGATCTACTCAACTGAGACGATTCTGGCCAGGTTCATGAGTCTTGCATCGTTGCTGCTGAGATGCCTAGTGGATCTCCATCCCAAGTCCAGCCATGGAGGACAGGAACAGTTTCAATCCGACAAAGAGGCCTCATCTTCCGAAGACCAGGAACCAGAGGAACAGGATGTTTCGTCCGCAGTCTCGAGAATGGCTCCCGCTTTTGAAACATTCAGCAGAGGCCAAATGAATGGGAAGGTCTCGTCTTCTGCAGGACTGGTTAGCTGGAGCGACGATTTACCACCAAAATTTGGTTCATCCAGGAACGTGAGCCCACCGAGGTTCAAGTACCCGCCAGGCCCTGGGGGTCCGGTCTCCCCTCTCAGTAGGAAGTTCGCCTCTCTCAACTCCCTGCACGACCGCTACAAGCGGCCCAACGGTGGACTGTCTTCTTTCGACAAGGACACTGGACGCTTCAGCTCGGATATGGGTTACGACGAAAGTGATGATCTGGATAGAAATATAATGGGTCCCTATCGATCGAGCCATGACTCTGCCGTGATGTTCATGAGCGGGCGAAACACTCCACACCACAGTCTGATGAGCAGAGGCTCCCCGACCGCTGCTCCGATCGCCAAGGAGCGCGATCTTGGTCGCAAGGTCCTCTCTGGTAAGCGTTTTATTACAACCCAGTGCTGACTCTGCGATAAATTAACACAAGACTCTCTACTCACTAATCCGTTTTAAATGTATCTTGATCTGTTACCTATAGACACAAGGATTCCATCGATTCGACGTGACAACGATGAAAATGAACAGGAAAGACTGAACGCCGCTATGAGAAGTGCGGAGAGAACAGTAACCGAGATATTTGTACCAGTCCAGGAAATGTCACAGCTGGTAGAAGAAGTAATTACGCCGGCACCTCAAACAGCAGATCAAACGTTCAATCAGAATCTGGCGGCATCATCAACGCCAAATCTTGGACCGCAACGAACATCATATTCCAGTCCCTCGCGTGCATCATACGAAACTTCAGTACGTACACAGACAAAGACGACAGATAACGCCACGTTGCCTACATCGCCGGCAAACACGCCGGGAACATCAAGCAGGAATGGGCGTCCCAGTACTCCAACGGATGTATCAAGGATCCTCGCCGAGGATTCGGATATGGTCGGGCTGGGTGTCAGTGTTCTCGGAAAAGCAGTGTCCAGAAACTCTGTCTCACCGGGGGCTTCTGGCCAAGGATCGGGAGCGGTTTCTCGTTCAATGCGTGTACGCAGTCCTGTCCCATCTTCACCGAATCTGGAGCCATCTAAACGAGTACAACTGTCAGAATTTTCTTCTCGTCCTCACAGTCCAAGCCTAGGTCCTGAGCCGCGGACGTACTCAAGAAACAGCAATGGATCCAGCAATAATCTAACGACTGCAGTCACGCCAAGTTCGAAACGAGAATCTCAAACCTCCGTTCGCTCAGACATTTCGACAGGGAGACGATCGAAGGACAGTCAGCTATCAGGGGATCAGGATAGCACGCAGGATCGACCTCATCCATCGATTCAATCAGCACCGCGCTTGGACTCGAGGGCAAGTGCTAGTCTTCGACCAGAGCCTCAGGGAAGGGATGAAGAATTGCTATCCGGACTTGTCACCCCTACAACCCCTAACATCCAGACTTTTGTGGATGGTCAACCTCCCCAAAGACCAGGCAAGAGTCATCGTAGAGAGAGCGCTCAATCGACGCTGAGTGTTGCAAACAGCATGCACTCTAGATCTGGTGGGGGTTTTCGTCCGATTTCTCCAGCCCTATCCACCCGAAACGGCGGCCAGGATATTGGAGCGCGAGGGCGGCTATCAACTGAGAGCACCGCAGCTGATGAAAGGCAGCAGCAGCATCGACATCCACAGCAGCTGACAAGGGCAAAGCCTAGCGTACCGCCGTATCGTCCACGCCAAAACAAGGTCGGTCAATCAAAGGGCCGGCCCAGTACTGAGTCCAAACAGGAAAGCGTCCTGGCTACACCATGGTTCCTCGAGAACGACTACGAACCAGACGAAGTGCTATACAACGACAACGGCGCGTTGGTGGCGGGCACTCTGGATGCCTATATCGAGATGCTGACGTCACACAAGAATACCCCAGGTACTTCATCATATTGCTAAGCTTAAGACTTCTTTATCGATTATTTGTGATGACAAGTGGATATCTAACGATTTTTGTTTTTTATTTGCTTACCAGATCCAGCATTTGTCACGACGTTCTTTACGACTTTCCGGCTGTTTACCGATCCCATGGAACTCGTTCAGCTTTTAAAAAAGCGGTTCGTCAAACCTCCTCCATCTGGACTTGACGATCAGGAGCGCATGACCTGGCAGCAGGAAAAGCAGGAGCGTGTCCAAAAGAGGTGGGCTATAAGAAACATTTATATATATATATTTGTATATATATAGTGCTGCGACTAATGCACGTATGGTGTTGATTGATGTTTCCTTAGGGTGCAAATTGCTCTCAAGACTTGGCTAGACGGATATTGGGTCTCTGCAAAGGACCGAGCAGCGTTCAAGCCAATTATGGACTTTGTCACCCAGGAAATGATGGCAATTCTCCCCGGCCCATCTGGTCGTATGTTAGATATGCTGAATCAATGGGCCAACAAACGAAAATCGCTCAATCTCCATGGTCGACCTCAGACCCTCAGCAAGTCTCGCTCTCATGAAAGGATTAACCAGCTCACACAGGAGCCTGGAAGCATCCAAGGTAGTGGCATCACCGGTAGCAGCAGCAAACCATATGCTACGCTCAAAGAGAAGCACTCGATCGATCAGTCTCGACCAATTAGTCGAAGGGGTATTAGTGCTTTCACGAACAGGGATAGTCTCTATTCTCGAGGTCCGCCTGTGCCGTTAGTCAATAAGGCCTTGCTGAGTGCCCTGGCGAGCGATGCGACGATGGCCAAAGTTGTGGTAACAGATATCAAACCCGTGGAATTGGCGAGGCAGCTGACAATCATGGTGGGCAAGCTGCTTTTGGAGATCCCATACCTGGAACTCCTTGCAAAAGAGAGGCCTAATTGCTCTCGCGTAGTTCAATTATCGAATAAGGTACTGTAGCCTAGCACTCTTCTTTATTTCGTATTTTGATTATATGTTACTCCAGGACAGCTTGTAACCGGTTTTTTGTTTGCTTTTTGTAGATTACGTGGTGGGTCACGGATACCATCGTAGACGAGCCCAGTGTTAAAAAAAGAATTGGTGTCCTCAAGCACTGGGTGGAAGTTGGTGAAGAATGCCTGAAGCTGAATAACTTTGAGACACTTATGGCCATCAGCTGTGCCATTGAATCGAGCACGGTGAGACGCTTGCACAATACCTGGGAGGTAAGTTTCCCGTTTCCTCTTTGGTTACTTCTCCGATTTACGTGGCATCATAGTCTGACGCATGTCATCGTTTTTTATGTGCCTTTCTTACCCAGGGTATCAGCAAGGCGTACGTTGAGCGCTACGAACAGCTGAGGAAGATCATCTCGAATGACTTTAACTACAGTCTCTACAGGGCTAAGCTGAAGACCGTCCAGGCACCTTGCGTCCCCTTCTTGGGTAATTAACACGCGCACAGAAAGATAGAAAATGATCATTCTGCTGACTATCTACGGACTGCATATTAACACGTTTTTCTGCTTTTTTTTTTTTGTTCTCAGGGTTGTATTTTACTACGATTACCTATATTGAGGATGGAAATTCAATTTACAAGGAACTTAATCCCCCGGAACTAGCACTAAACTCTACATCGTCCGCCACGTCCATACCTGTTCCACCTACCACTCCTACGCCCGTCACAACTAAAAAGCTGCTCCGATATGGTCGATTCTCTCAACTGGCCAAAGCGGTTCAAGAATTTCGAGATCTCCAGGGCATTTACGACTTGTTGGAGGTTCCAAGGATGCGTGATTTTATCTTGAAGCGTACGGAAACCATAGATTTGGAGAGGAGCTATCAAAAGAGCAAGGCGATCGAGCCCGGCCGACCTACGCCGAGCAATATACCCGGAACTGGAGGAAGTAGTGGTAGCAGCAGCCAAAGATCGAGCATCAGTATGGGTACAAGACCGGGCGCAAACAGGGGTCTGTTTTATGGAGGGATCACTAATTCGGAGATGAGCAGCGGCAATAGCATGCCGGCAAGGTTGAACAAGTTGTCATTCTTCAGAAAGAGCACGAGGACCGAGCGCCCTTAAAGACTTTGTTTCTTTTCTTTTTTGTTTTATCCATATAATGTACAATAATACAGCAAAATAAAATAATAGCCAGAAAGATAGACGAAACAGGGGAACTGAAAGTGCAAACAGCCATGGTTACGAACTAAAGGATCATGGCGCTTCTGAGTCTACAGGGGTTGGATTTGTCGCCGTTGAACCAATCGGTCCCAGTGCAGTCGAACTTGAGCTTGATGGTTCACGATGAGCCGCGGTCACGCTCAGTCCTCCATTGCTGTGGTTCAAAGCGACAAAGCAGCTAATACTGTGGTTCGTGCACTTCTTTCCCATCATTTGCGCTTGGCAGACATGCGAGTAGTCCTGGTAAACGCTTACATGGGCTTCATCGCGCTTGGGAGCAGAGACAAGGTGTAGGGCTGCATCTCCGATCACGATGTCCGGATCCTTCTCGAGGCTCTCAGTTGTGATGTCGACCTCACTGGTGAAAGGAGCCGGGGGGCGGTAGCTGACAGGACTCACCACAGATGCCGTGTCTTCCTCACCCCCGGCAGGGTTTCTTGCAGCTCGCGCTGCAGCCTCGGCGTCCTGCTGGAGCTGACGACGTAGGTTGCGTCGACGATTGTTTCTACGGCGGTAGGCGATCACACCAAAGGCAACACCGGCGATCACGGCCAAGGGGATAAGGATGTAGGCGAGGGGGTTAGTGTTGAGGGGCTTGTCGCCATCGCCTGGTTTGTTTGGTGGGGTGTTGGTAATGGCCTTGTCAACACCGTTGTGGTCGCTTGATGATGGGTTGCTGGGACCAACTGGAATCATGGATCCGGTTCCAGAAAAGAATGAGGTGAGTGAAGGAGTCGGCGATCCTGCTAGGGGTCTGGCAGCATTGTTCCCGTTGAGGTCGTTGCTATTGGTACTCGAGTTGTTGTTAGCGCCAGAGCTATTGTTGGTACCAGAGTTGTCGCTGTGAGAGCCACCATTCGTGCTGTCCTTGTCGCCTTGGCTACCATCGCGACCCGATTCGTTATCGTCGCTCGACGACGCGTCTCCATCATCTCCGGAAGCCTGGTCTCCGGATCCACCGCTCTTTCCGTCTTCGCTGTCCATGTCATCTTTGTTATCATCGCTATCACCGCCATCTTTACTTTTATCATCACTCTTTCCGTCGTTATGATCCTCTCCAGCTCTGCCATCTCTGCCCGAATTAGCGTCCTTGCCATCCTCGCTGCTCCTGCCATCGCTATCATTTTCTCCGGCTTCATTGTCCTCGCCATGTTTGCTATCGTAGTCGTCCTTTTCATCCCTGTCACCCTTATTATCCTCGCTGTCCTTGCTGTCATTATTATCTCCTCCGTCCTCAATATCCTCGCTGTGTTTGCTATCATGGTCGTTCTTGCCCTCTTTACTTCCCTTGTCGTCCTTGTCCCTTTTGTTATCCTTGCCATTCTTGTCGTCCTTGTCGTCCTTGTCTTTCTTGTTGTTCTTGTCCTCTTTTCCGTCCTTTTTGTTCTTGCCATTTTTCCCGTCCTTGCTGCTCTTGTCCTTTTTGCCATCCTTATCGCTCTGGTCCTTTTTTCCGTCCTTGTTATTCTTGTCCTCTTTGCCATTCTTGATTCCTTCCCCGTCATGCTTGCCTTTATTGGATTTATCGCGGGATCCAGCATCCTTGTCCTTCTGTGAGCCTTGGCCGTGCGATTTATTTGATCCATGGCGACCTTTACTGTTTCCGTAATCATGGTGGCCGTCTTTATCACGACCAATGTGGTGCTCCTTTGCGTGGTTATAATGACTACCCTTGCCATAATTATGGTGGCCATCCTTGCCGCGACCGATATGATGCTCCTTTGCGTGCCCAAGGTAGTTGTCCTTCCCATTGCCATGGTAGCTATCCTTCTCGTAGTCATTGCGCTCTTGATGTTCTTGCATGGCTTGCCATTCGGGGCCGTGGCGTCTGTAAAGGGTAGAATAGTGCGTGTACAGGTTCGCTGCTTTTTTAGTGACGGGATCGTTGTGTGTTGTGTGACCGAGGTCTTCGATGATGGGGGCCATGGTTATAATGATTAGCAAGATGACATAGGGTGGGTATTAAAGAATGAAGAAATTATGATATATTAAAGCAAGAACGGTGTCTACGCAGTAGTGGGTATGAAGCTGAGGGGAATCGCGGGTGTCAAGCGGAAAGAGTGGAGGTAAAGGTGAAGATATAGGCAATGCGGGGTGGTGGATATGGAACCAAACGCGTCAGTGCTCCAGCTGTATGATTGGTCACTACGTGTTTCCTAGGCTGGTCCAGTCTGCAAAGTACAGAGGCGGGTCTAAATTGTAATCCGGCCGCTGAAAATCGTGAGCTCAGACAGCGCAGCCGAGCTGCATTCATCCGTTCATCCGTTCATTGTATTCATTCCAGTTTCCACCTTCCAATCAACACTATCCACGACAACGCCGAATCAGCCAGACCTTCGTCCAAATGACTGTTGTCCGTGATATTGTCTATGCCCCCGTCTCGGACTGGGAGAAGCACACCCTCGACCTTTACTGTCCTCAAGCCCAGGCAAACCCTCATCGCTCCCTGATCGTGTTTGTTCACGGAGGTGCGTGGAGGACCGGCGACAAAAACGGATTCATAGATCTAGCCAAGAACCTTGCTGACTCTACCGGAGATGCTGTTGCTGTCGTCAACTATACGCTGTCAATTGCCGCTATTAAGAACGATCCAACCTCAGTCCCGTCCAAGGCACAGCACCCTAAACATGTCCAAGATGTAGCCCTAGCAATTGGATATCTTTACACACATGCTCAAACATATGGGACATATAACCCAGAACACATTTTCCTTGTCGGGCATTCAGCCGGTGGCCACATCACAGGGCTCTTGGCTTTGCGTCCAGATCAGTACCTGGAACCCATTGAAGCCGATCTGGGATTGACGAAGGGTACTCTACACTCAGCAATCCGTGGTGTCGTCGGCGTAGAGGGCATCTACAACGCGGACCGCCTATTGAAAAGATGGCCATCCTATCGCGATTTTATCATCCAGGGATTTGGGCAGGATCCAGCAACTCTGATTCATGGGTCTCCAGCAGGTCAAGAGATTCCACAAGACTCAGGATTCGTCCTTCCAAGATATGCTGTTATTCAATCGACCCAGGATGAGTTGGTTGATTCCGAGCAGGCCAGTGATTATTACGTGTATCTGCAGTCCCTCGCCAGTACTTCGGGGGACGGGGTTGCGCTGGAATTTGGAGACTGGGGCACTCACGACGAGATGCTGCAAACACCACAGTTCACGAAAACAATCACCACGTATATCCATGGCTGGGAGACCTCATTGGAATAGGGGCGATAGCAGCAATAAATTACAATTGATACCTTTCCCAAACATGGCCCTGCAGTCCAGAAAGGACCCCCACAGCAGCAGGGACCCCACCATTGCCCATCGGGTTTGCGCACGTGATTATTCTTGACGTCAATTCGCTTTGTTTTTTTTGTTTTTTTTCCTTCCCTTTTTGTCAAGGCGACTAGTCAAGATCGCTTCCCATCCCTCCTCCTTCTCTCCCAACTAATCCCAACAGGATAGCATCTCTGTGTAAGAGACCGCTGAATTCTTCTCGTCTTTTCCCAAATCTGCCAGTTAAGACACTCGACTGACCCCCTTTTATTCTTTCTTTTCTCTTGCATTGCTCCTCTGGCATCTCAATTTAGCACAATGTCTACGCCTCAGGACTCCATCGATAACAATATCGAGATGTGGAAGGTGAAGAAGCTGATCAAGGGTCTTGAAGCAGCTCGTGGGTAAGTGCTTGGCCTAGCCTTTGTACCACTTCTCTTTGCTCGAAGCTCTTCTTTGCCTCCTTTGTGTCTTCAATCAGGCCGCTGACATAAACCTGATTGTTAATGTTGTTAATGTCTGTGCTCACTTATTATAGAAACGGAACGTCCATGATCTCGCTCATTATTCCTCCCGGTGATCAGATCTCCCGCGTTGCCAAGATGCTGGCGGATGAGTACGGAACCGCCTCCAACATCAAGAGTAGAGTCAACAGGCTGTCTGTGTTGAGTGCCATCACCTCGACCCAGGCACGTCTGAAGTTATACACCAAAGGTAAGTTTATTTTGAACGATCATACTAAAATGACAGCTCACCACAGGATTTGGATACGACTATGACGGTGTTTCGTGATGACCATGTACCATACTTGCTCAGCAAACTAACACAGCACGACCTTGATTTCATCGCTTGCTCTGTCGTAGTTCCTCCTACTGGACTTGTTGTGTACTGTGGCACCGTCGTCACCGATGAGGGCAAGGAGAAGAAGGTCAACATAGATTTCCCTCCTCACAAGCCTATCAACACCTCTTTGTACATGTGCGATAACAAGTTCCATACCGAAGCTCTTTCTGAGCTGCTCGAGTCCGACTCCAAGTTTGGATTCGTCATCATGGATGGTAACGGTACCCTGTTTGGTACCGTCTCTGGAAACACCCGCGATGTCATTCACAAGTTCACTGTTGATTTGCCCAAGAAGCACGGTCGTGGAGGTCAGTCCGCCCTTCGTTTCTCCCGTCTTCGCGACGAAAAGCGCCACAACTACGTCCGCAAGGTCGCCGAGATGACTGTCCAGCACTTTATTACCAATGACAAGGTCAATGTCACTGGTTTAGTCTTGGCCGGTTCTGCTGATTTCAAGACCGAGCTTTCCCAATCCGACCTGTTTGACCCACGTCTCCAAGCCAAGGTTGTCAAGATTGTCGATGTCTCTTATGGTGGCGAGAACGGTTTCAACCAGGCCATCGAGCTCAGTGCTGAGGCCCTTTCCAACGTTAAGTTCGTCCAGGAGAAGCGCTTGATTTCAAAGTACTTCGACGCCATTTCTCAGGACACTGGAAAGTACTGCTTCGGAGTTGAGGATACCTTGAAGGCACTGGATATGGGCGCTGTCGAGACCCTGATCGTCTGGGAGAACTTGGATATTGCCCGTGTCACCCTCCGCAACTCCCAGGGAGAGCTCGACATCAAGCACTTCACCAAGGAGCAAGAAAAAGAGCGCACTAACTTTATCGATCCCATCGATGGCTCGGAGATGGAGATCGTGGAGAAGATGTCCTTGCTGGAGTGGCTTGCTGAGAAGTACAAGGATTTCGGTAAGATGCCTTACTGGTATTTGTCACGGCAGTATGCGATATAACAAATATCGCCAATATATTAATGCTCGGTTCTTGAATCCTGCGTTTTTTTTTCTTTCTCTTTTAAGGTGCTACCCTTGAGTTCGTCACCAACAGGTCTCAGGAAGGCTCTCAGTTCGTGAAGGGATTCGGAGGTATCGGAGGCATCCTTCGCTACAAGCTCGACTTTGACGCTATCACATACGACTCGGACGAGTTCTTCTCGGATTGACCCGATGATGAGGACAACGCTGCATCGCTTCAGGAGGGGAAGGAATTGGGTGGCGTCGTGCGCCCAGTTTAAACAGAGAGACGAATAAGTTTATGACAGAGAAGGTACGCATGAGATTTGTCTTCTTTTTTGTCGCTTGTTACTGCACTGCATTGCACTGCCTGCTGACAGTTCTCGTTTTTCTATTCTTATTTCTCTTCGTTTAGCTATCTGGTCTCTGTGTTCGAAGGAAACCTAGAATTTATTTTTCGAACGTCGTCAGATGAGCATGCGGGTGCTTGAGTATTGCAAGAGATCCATTTTTGAAATCAGAGGCACGGAGGAAAAGCACGATTAAAGAACTTGATGTTGCTATAAGTCACTAGTGCCTTTGAAATGCATTCTACTTACGCTCTCCACAGCGACACAATGCAGCGATGTGACCTTATAAACTTCGTTGCACCAGGGCCTTACGCTTCGCATAACCAGTGGCTGTTTTCACTGCAGCACAGCTAACTGTGCTAGCAGCAATCGGTTTCTCTGCATCGAATTCAGACGCTTCATACGACTCTTGAATTGTTTTTGCAGTCTAATGTCAAGTTTCAAGCATTCTCGCTGTCTTTGCTCGGCCTCAGCGACCTGCAAAAGCTCATAACTGTTTCAACGATGCAGCGGAAGGCGACATGGATCCCATTCAAGTCCTCGGGGCAAGCTAGAGACACTTCATCCTAAATCTCAGCTCCTTGGACACGAGCGCACGGATCAAACCGTGTTATCACAGCGCGACGTCTGCTCGATGTGCGCTTAAGCTCGTTGTAGACCACAAATAAAGTGCTGAATTGACAACAGATTGTCCCAAAAAAAAGTGGGTATCACGTGCGTGGATCGAATTTTTTTCTGGCTTTTTATGATCCGCCTCAGCTCTCAGCTACAGGTCCTTCTTTTCCAAATCTATTACTCGAAATGGTCTCTAAGTGAATGAATATACAAAGATACCACCGGAGAACCATCCATCACTAAACAGGGAGCAGCAAACCATCCATTGGACACATCACCAACTACAGACAACGTATCCATCGCATTCTGAGGCTTCAGCACAGCAGAATCCACAGTCAAAAACTATCATACGCATCATTCAGCTTGACAGGAGATGATGGAATGAGGCCCAACTTCATGCCGAAACTTTGATCAGGAGCTGAGGGAGAACGAGAAGGATAATTTTGCACTGTACAATTGCCGCCGCTTTCAACAGCCAAACATAACAGGATCGTTTTTTGAACACCAACCGTCCGAGGATCAACCATGTACTTCAGTTTGGCGCTTTTTACTCACTTGCAGCAAAGGAATACGTCTGGAAACGCTAATGGATCAAGGAACAGCCTCGACAGCACCAGATTTCACAGGACATCCAGTAGTAATCAGCTTCCTGAACCCGCCACTCATCTTGGACCCTGTTTGTCTTTTTTCTTTCTTTCAATCAACAGACTAAGGGTACCTCTTCGTTTGGTAAACGCCACACCAAGTCGCACACTTTGTGCCGTCGGTATGTTGATGTTAGCAGGCTGTAGGAAGGCTGCCGCTGTTTATGTTGCACCAACAAAGGACACGACTATGGAGGAGTCTGACACTACTTTTTTCTTTGGATTCGACCAACCGTTAGCTGTGGTCGTCGCTCCTTCCACAACCAGAAGAAGACTTGCGCTCAGTGCGGCTACCCAGCTGCCAAGCTCCGCTCTTGTAAGCATTGTTGATAATTTCATTTTGACAACGGGAAAAAGTACACCTGGAATTACGACAGGACAATGCGATATAATTTGGGATTATCACCATCGGAGTCAGCGTCGCGCAGATTGACAGCCTCTACGAAGCCGGTCGTACGATAAAATGCCACACGAGGATGACAAGTGCACTATGAACAGTCAGCAAAGGAAAGAAATGGACGCTAGCTATGATTGAGAAAATGGGAACCAACAACAACATGTTGTCCTTCGTTTTTGCGCTCAAAAAACATGGACGACCATATTTTAGCATCGCTTTTAAACCTGAACTCAACTAATTATTTTTTTCCCTCTGCAACACATCTTTGTAGACAACTGGAGCGAGAAGGCTACGCGCAGAAAGACCACCGGTACCGGCCGCATGCGTCACTTGTCCACTGTCAACCGCCGCTTCAAGAACGGTTTCCGTGAGGGCACCCAGGCCAAAAAGCAGGTCAAGCCTGTCGTTGCTTAAAGTAACGAAGAGACAAGCTCACCTCTTTCTTCGCGTAGCGGGAAACCTGGTTCGGTCCTTGAACGAAACGGGAAATTACCTTGAAATAAAACATGACTCGCGCAATCGAGGCACCTTTTGTTTCTTTTCAACTTGTCGACGCTCCTCCTCTCATCGTCATTTGGGTGTGTATCGAGAAGATGTGGAGTAGAGTATATGGCGGTATGTAATGAGCCACAATTGTGTAGTAGGTGGCCCAACCGCTGCGTGGTTTAGTGGATCGCCCTTTCTTGACGGGATATAGGTTTTGCCCTTGTATGTGTAACATAGCCGTGCGAACAGAGTTCTTCAATGACGGCAGCCGTGAACTAAGCATTGTGATACGCATGGCGTGATCCACACGATCTGGGGATATAAGAGTTGCGGGCTTCAGGGCTAGGCAGACGCAGCAACGAATCAAGATATTGCGGAGCGCCCATTGGGAAATCCATGGACCATGCTACGCAACATACAGAGATCATCAAGTAGAGCAAATAGTAGAGTGGGTTGTGCCACGTTTCTTTGGACCAGCAAACAGAAGTTGTCTGACCCTGTCGTCATGAGAGGCGTGAGCACAGGCTACAAGGGCCGTTTTTTCGTTTTCTAGTTATATCGCAGTCACCGTGTTTTTTTCTGCCTGCTGTTTGAGCAAAGGGCAGCAGTGGTCTTTCCTTTTCCTCAGGCAAAACTTTTTCACACCTTTATTTTTTTAAATACTTATTTTCATACGCTCCTTTTTTCTTCTTGCATACACAGACGCACACACTACACATTCATCCAGAAACACAACCTCATCATCTGCTCCATCGTACGACTGCATCCACAGGTGAGTGATAGTGTCGGTGGCGGCGTGCTCCCTCCCCACTGATATGGCGGGAATTGAATTCAATTGAGTTATCTAACTTACCCTCTTCCTCCTTGGTACTTGCTCAACACAGCAGCGATATTCAATCTCAACGGCCAGCCTCTCGCCTACGTTTTTTTCAAAGGTCATCCCAGTGTGACCATGAACATTCCGCCTCAGCAGCAACACCAGCAGCAGCAGCAGCAGCAGCAAGAACAACCAAACAATGGTCAAGGCCAGCACTATGGAAATCTTCAAGGATCCTCATCGGGGAACCTGAGCTCGTTCGCTGCTCTCCCTCCCAATCCATACAACCTTAACACTCACCTGATGGGTCTGAGCATGCAGAACAGTTCCTCGTCCGCCGGATTGAGCTCCTCCTCCTCTTTGGCGCCCGTTCCTACGAGTTCTAGCTTAATGAATGGTGGAAACAGCGGCTCAACAACGCCTTCTATGGTCTACGCCTCCGCACCATCGTCGCCCAACCTTAGGAACCTCCAATACAATCCATCTGGGAATGCGCAGTACAACCAAAGTAGCAGCCTTTACTCTCAACCCCCTCACCAGCAGCAGCATAGCCAGTACTCATTCCACGCTCAGCAACAGCAGCCTCAGCAGCAACAGCACTCCGTCCAAAGTCTGACATCCAGTTTCTACCCCACTTCGCCACCTCATCAACATCAGCAAAAATCATATCAGCAGCAGCAGCAGCAGCAGGCTGGGTCAAGTACGTCATTTAATTCGATGCCGTCTGCCCCTCTTCGCCAGCAACCACAGTATGCGCCCTTGGTGCCTCCTCTGTCGGATGCACAGTACGCGCAATATCATCAATTGCTTGGATCGGCATTCAGCTCTGCGGCCTCAACGCCCTACCATTCGAACCAGTCTACGCCGTATAGCTCTATGCCTACGTCTCCAACACTCGAGTACCAGCAACTTTCAGACCCAAACATGATCCAGAAGCCGAAGCGCCGACAGGTCAAGAACGCATGTGGTACGTTTTATTTGTTTGTTATCTTTTTCCTTATGTGGGCTGGGATATGTCATATCTGCGTTGATCTGGTGGTTTCTTTGTCTCCTGTGCCATCTTCCAACGGCTGACTGCAGCGTCGACATGCAGGCAGTCGAGACAAAAAAAATAGTGCGCCTCTATCCTGGGAAATAGAAGGCGTACGTTTTTTTTTGAGAGGACGAGACAATTGTGTGAGCAGAAAGGGGGATGGTAGTTCTTGAGTCATATCACTTTTGTAGTACAGAAGGAGGGTTATCTAGTGGCTGACTAGCAGCTTCCATTTCGTTTTATGTCTTACTAAACTGCCATTATTGGTTTTCGCTCCATAGTGAACTGTCAAAAGGCGTGCAAGAAGTGTGACGAGGGACGACCATGCACTCGATGCATCAAGTACGGCCTCATTGATACCTGTGTGGACTCGACCCGCAAGATTCGCAAAAAGGGCATCAAACGTGGACCCTACAAGCGTAAGATCCCACCAAGCCAGCTGGGATCTGCGTCAGCATCAACTACGCCCGTCATAAGCCACGCCGTTCTTGTTGGACCGCCTACAGGATACATGTCAGAGCCGGTGACAGCATTGAACAGCCCGACGCAGTCGCATATGTTGCCGTTCACGGCCTCAGCCTCTGCCATGGGATATGGATATGGTGGTAACTCAGGATCTAGCAGTGGTTATGCAGGATCTAACAGCGCTTATGCGGGATCTAGCAGCGCCTATCCAGGATCTAGTAGCAGCTATACATTCCAGACGCAGAATATAGACAATAGCTATGTGCCGCCCTACACGACTAGCTACTCTGGAGCCAGCCTGTACACCGCTCCATATGCCATGAATGATGGCAACAACATCGGCAGCACCAGCAACAACAACAACAACAACAACAACAACAATAGTTTACCATGACATGTATCAAATCCATAGATTTTAAGTAATAAATAGTCCTAAAGGGGGGAGGGGGAAGGGGAAAGAAAAGGAGTACTCACTCCAGTACTCACTCCTTACTTTTTTTTTTTTTTCGCAAAGTCAACTATATACCAATTACTTCACCTAATTATTTCTTCATCTATCCACCCACAATTTTACAGTCAGAATAATGGTGCCAAGTCGCAGGATTGGCAATGTCATAGTACTGGCATTCGTCGCAATAGTTCAGCTATCGGTCCTTGCTGAGGCTCGACAACGTTCTGTGGGTATCAAGCACCTCTCCTACGATAAATCTAGCTACGACCTCGCCCATGCTTCTCATCACCGACCAAAAAGAGAGGGCAACAAACAGCAGCATGGCAAGAGCAATCAAGGACACGAGCATCAAGAAAGCGCCTACCGCACATTTATTGCGAAGCAGAAGCGCAGCAGCGAGAGCAACCATGAAGTGGACAGCATAGTGGATCAGAGCCTTATTGCTAAGAGTGACATTCCTTGTGGACTGGGACAAGCAGTTTTAAAGTGTCCATTGGCGAGTCCCTGTTGCTCTCGATGGGGGTTCTGCGGCAGTGGGGGCAATTACTGTCTTGATGGATGCCAGGAAGCGTTTGGGCAGTGTGGCGATATTCCACAGCAAGGCAGCCAGAAGGAGGAAGAGTATAACAGAAGGAAGTGGCGACCGTGGAGGGAAGTTCATGGATTCGACCAGAACGGGGAGCCACAGCGCGTTATGGGCCAAGATAAGAGCAAGTTTCGTATCCCTTCCACGGTACCCAAGTTGCCCCTGAACGGGACGCTCGTCAACATAGCGTACTATGCTGGGTGGGCCCAGTACAGAGGACTAGGAGAAACTACCTGCCGCCAGCGACCGTACCTGCCGTCTGCAATTCCTTGGTCATCGCTGGACTATGTCATGTTCGCCTTCGCCTATTTTGACGACGACAACGAGCTCTACCCAGCCGATCCAAGCGACGAAAGACTCTACTTTTCTATCAACAAGCTAAAGATGGCTACAAAGACCAGGGTCATGATCTCGATTGGGGGCTGGACCTTTACACATCCGGACTCGAGGAGTAAATCCGGAACGAAGCATCGGTTCAGGAACATGGTTAGGTCGCCAAAATCACGGAAGGCCTTTATTGCGAGCTGCATTGAATACTGTCAATCCTACGGCTTTGACGGGGTCGATATCGACTACGAATATCCAGCCTACCAGGACCGCGCGTTCGTTACCGCCTTGTTTCGAGAAATGAGGGAGGCATTTGATGCTGAAGGCAGCGGTCTCATTATTTCGATGGCGGGCGCTGCTTTCAAAGATGGCGTTCAAGGGTTCGAACTGGACAAGGTAGCCAAGTATATGGACTTTTTGATGATCATGACTTATGGTAAGAAAAAAAAAAGGTAGTTCTGAGCAATATGGAAGGTACCTATTGAACCAATGAATATCGTCGTACACTATCGCTCATCTCAGCGTTATTCACCACTCTACAGATTTGTATGGCTCTGACGACTCGAACCGAGTGGTGAACATCCATACTGCCTTAATTCAAATGCCCGATGAGAAGCATAGCGGCCATAGCGTTCAGGGCGCTGTCGAACTGTATCTCGATCGGGGGGTTCCTCGCGAAAAGATCGTGCTGGGGCTGGCCCTCTACGCCAAGACCTTCGTCCTGGCTAATCCATCGAATACACAGCCCGGAATAGCGCAGTTCAAACAAGGAGGCGATCCCACGAACTGCATGGACTCCCGGGGCGAGATGGCTTATAATGAGATTGCATACCTTATCCATCCTGCCGATCATACTTCTAGACAGGTTAGTCCGCTGTGGGATCCTGATGGCCGGGTATTTTATTTCGTATACGGAAGCCGTCAAGATAACTTGGTCGGGTACGATGATAGGCCAAGTCTGGATCTGAAGCTGCAGCTTGTGACGGAGCTCAAATTGGCGGGTGTGATGTGGTGGAGTCTTGATCAGGACCTGGACTCGACGAGCGAGAAGCCGGGTACCCATTATCAGAAGCGGGATTTGGAGCGAAGGACGATCCCACAAGTCCCATATCGTCGACTAGGCACTTCTTTTCCCAAAACAGTGGCCATTCCCTCCACAGCCAGTTCAGAAGGGGTCAAATCAGTGTCAGCACCATCAACTTCCACACAAGGAGAAAATAAAACGACTACGCACCAGGAGACTAAAACACTACCGCCAATGTGCCCTCGACTGACTACGGCCGCTACCTTTGCAAGACTATTGAAATTCACTCCCGCGACTATGGTATGTTCGAATAGAACGACTTCTAATCCAACAATCTGTCCGTCAATTGTCGAGCCGCCAGCTCGGATGTCTTCCATTCCGTTAAATATCCTCGGACAACCAGGGCTAGTCCCTTATGTTGCTTCCAAGCGAAAGAGATGCCGTGTCGTCATACAATACCCGCACGTTTTGCCTGAGACTCCTGTGGGTAATGCTGTCATGAAAAAATGTCCTGCCCCTGCCGACTGTACCGAATCTTGGCAGGCATTTACTTGTACTCATGAGGGCTGGAGTAAAGGAAGCCCATGTTACGGTAACGTGTTAATTTTGTAACAATCTATTCAAATTTGGTAAACTCCACATCTCCGCCTGGCAACTAACGCGATGCTGACATTTTTATCGCACGTATTGCCTTGTTCTCCTTATAGACAAAGCGAAGCTGTCTCCTTCGCTTTATTTTTACGGGGAATTGGAGTTTGTCCGGACGGCTCGCGATAGAGATATTAGGCAGGCTTATCAAGCAGGCGAAGGACCACCAAGAGCAACTTCCCAGTTGATTGCGCAGGTTGAATCTAAACGCCCTGAGTACATTACTCAATATCTAAAGCTCTCAAAGGTGCTGCGGCTGATGGCCGAGGTCAAAGGACTGAAAGGGCTAAAGGTTAAGAAGCGTTTGGTCCGCTCAGGTTCAGTCGCAATCAAGAGGAAAATGGTGAAGAGGAGCAGGAAGGCGAAACAACAGCGGCATGCAAAGGGCAAGCTTACGAGTCATTTGTGCGAGCGACAAGATTCAACCGCGGTGAATACATAGACGGGACGGGATGGCATAATAAAAGCAGGACTAGGAGACTGAACAGAGATGTCAGGGAGTACTGTTCATTTGGCTCATCTAGTCGTTCAGTTCAGAAGTGCAATATGTCAAAAATAGGAAGGAGCCTGGTTTTGGACTGCGCCCAAATGCCCAGATGAGTAATACCATGACGCCAAAGATGCGGCGGCTACAAACGATAAAAAGTGCCTGGCGCACTACAGAGAAGTGCCGATTAAAAGTCGGTGGGATGAAGCTTCCCCTTGTAAGCCCTACTCCTTGTCCTGTCCTTCCTGGACCTCGCCCGAATCGTCTTCATGTCAACTCTCTCCATGTCCTCTGTCAGGTAGCCCAGGGCCCTGGCGAGATCACGGCTGTACTGAGTAGCTACACGGATGTTCTTGATTTTGGTAGCCTTGGTAGACTTTAACAGTTCGTGCTCAGTCATGGACATGTAGACTGCCTCGTCATGGTGATTAACGTTCATAATATCCGGCGACGACGTCTCCATTCTCTTCTCGGGCGGGTTTATTTCCGACTTGTCTGTGGATTTCTCAGTCTCGTAAGCTTTCGTGGCCGATGTGGATTTTGGCAGAGAGTCACCCTGCTGAGGTTTGCTGCGTTTTTTGTTCATTTTGACAACCCAGTTATTTCGATGTCCAGGAGCAGCGGCCGAGGCGCTGTTGATGCTGTGGGCTACGATTACCTTGCTGATGTTGGTGAATCCGTCGCTTGACAGGGACAGATGCAAGGGTGTGATAAAAGAGACCCCAATGGTTTCAGAGTTCTCATTGTGAGTGGATTGAAAGATATAGAGCTCGTCGCAGTCCTGATCATCCTCATCGGGACTGCCACTTTGTTCAGCCTCTGAAAGGCGAGGCAAGTCGACAACGCACCAAGTGGAGAGATCCTGTTCGCCTTCCTTGGTGACCGGCTCAAAGTGCTTTTAGTCCAGGGCTTGATTGGATGTGACTGTATCGGCAAAAGTTTCCGGATAGAGTCTTGACTCGAGCGCAGAGAAGGGGCTGCACAAGGCAATGGGAGTTTGAGAGATGAAGGCAGCCATAGTGGTTGAGGATATGCAAAAGAGTGGCAATTTGGTATGTCTTTGGTGAATGGTGGTGAAGGGGGCGTAGGTATGAGTATTTAAAGAGCGGCAGGTCAAGTAGTGTATTGTACGTTGCTTCTGAAAATGTGGTTAGTTGTTGTTAAAAAAAAGAAGGAAGAAAGAGGCGGGAGCTCTTTGGATGAACGTCCACGTCCACATACAATGCTCCTCGCCTCTTAGCGTGATGGTGCTGAGAGCCGTGTCCCTATGGATTTTCGGTCTGCATCTTGTTTATAAAGCTCTTCTGAATTTTAGGGAACTGCAGAATTTCAAGATTCAGTTGCCTGGAATCGGGTAACCCGGACTTGTTTCATATGCTATCGTGCCGTTTTCAAGGAATCGCTTCCTGTCGCTATCCCTTTGGCCTCATATATCTCATATAAATAGTCATTTTCAAACTAAAATGAATGGTATATTAGAGCAGGACTGTACGGCCTAGAAGCCCATGGTGAGACTAAAAAAGTACAGCAATGCCCTATTTAATGCAAATCCGCCTCTTGTTTCGCCCTCCCAGTGCGAAATATTTGGCAAGCGGGTATATCCCAATACCTTGCAACAGTTTTCCGCGGGTATGTCGCTACTAGTTACTGATACTGAGGATAGAAATAATAACTCTTTTGGGCTTTGTGTGTGTGGAAGCTCAAAAATTTGGGCGAGCCTCGACAGTTTGCACAGTATTTGGCTGCACAAGTGCATGTAGCATAAACATTTAGGACATAGAACTTAAGGGACAAAGCAGACACGCCACTCAGTACATCCTTGAACTCACTCCTTTCCTCATTCAGTCCCCTATCAACTCTTGATCACTGCTACAGGCTTTCAGCGCAATTAAAGTGTCTCTGCTATCAAATGCGTGTACCGAACTTGATCCCTGCTAGCTGTCCATTTTAACCTGGCCTTTATAGTACCACATGGGGATTGCTGGGCTACTCAAAGCTATAAAGGACACCAAAGGAACGCTCGCTTATGGTCTGCAGAGCAAGAAAACTCATGTTGACGCCCTGACTTTATAATTCCGGTCCGGACGTTTAAAGCGATGTGCGAGAAGGTCGCCAAGGAAGCGAGAGCCGAGGCAGCAACCACAACAAGTACCGGTGTATCAACAGCCTGGGCCCTAACGTCAAGCGCGACCTTCTTCACAGCTACCGCTAGCCTCAGCAGCACAAGATATACCTCCTGCTGTGAAAGGCGTGGACGACTACACTCGGCTTTCGTTTAAACCAAATGCGCGAAGTTCCGCCACATCATCGTGCATGGCCCACGAGAAAATACGAGACATATCCCACAAACTCGAGGAGTGCAAGTGGCAAAGGAGAAATGCAGCTTAAACCTCGCAGTCAAACCCTCCAATTGATACACTCGCCAGTGACGCTTCTGCAGGCTTGGCATCTCTTCTCTGCTCAGCACAACCTCAGCTCCATGGAGAGCAGACGTAAAAATCCCGGGAGGTAAAGTGGAGACGAAGCAGGTGCGGCTGTTGTGCGATTTGGTTGGCGAATTCAAACGGAATTGCTTTTTTTTTTTTGTTATCCTTTGGGTAAAAGAGCAGGAACGGAGATGCAAGCCCCCGTTACTCCTCATGTTATCATGGAAGTCAGTCAATCGTGTCTGGTCGGCAAGGGCGCGTTGGATAAGATGCCCATCGAGGGACCGCACCAGTGGAAGAAGGATGAAGACATAGATAAAAAAACCAAGAATGACGAGGATGACGAGAAAGAGGAGCGCGAACCAGCGCTAATTTGACTACGCACTTGTTCGGCGAAACGTCTAGGACTACTACAATGACTGTAGGGTTGATTACAGCTGCCTGTAGCGCGGCACGAAGCTGAACAGAGCCCAGGCCAAGATCGTCGCTGAACGTATCAACAAGGCGTTCACATCAGGAGTCAATCCCATATTTTCGTGCTTAAAACGCTCGAACTTTTTCTCTGCTAGAAGTCCAGCGCCTTCACCGTATCCGATTTAGGTATCGACGAAGTTAGGGAGTCACAAATCCAGGAGGCCGGTACTGTCGCTGCATCCGATCCGGAACAAGTGCATCGGCAAAGGAACAGGATATGGACATTGACGTCAACCAAGCGACTGCTCCAGGAGTCCAGAACAAGAAGGACACGAACGCGGACTTACTTGGTCTCATTCTGCGCAAGGTACATCGGTCTTTTTGATCCCGAATGGTCCAGTAGCGCCCCGCGGAAGACCACCCAAAGACTCGACAGCAATTCAGGCAAAAACAATCGCGCGTTCGATTTATGAGGGTTTCTTAAGTTGCGCAACCGACAAAGTGCTGCCAAGATATATACCCTGAGTGTCATTGAGGCGGAACTGGTTGTGGAGGCTCGGACTGCGGTTCGAAAGCATTTCCAGAAACTGCTCAAGTTTGTCGTGAACATACCTCGCGCTGATTGCTTTTCTACAGTGAACTGACACAAATTTCTTCTAATTTTTGCTAGTTGAAGCGTGCTCGTTTATTCACGCAGTCGAGGACAGCGAGGGCTCCGACGGCGATAAACAGGACGACAAGGTGTCATCTGAGAAGGGATCTGTCCAAACTTGGGGGAGGTTTTTTTCCCGCGTGCCGCCGGAGTTGCGTCCTTTTCTTGCCCAGTGTCGAGGTTAGGAAGCTTTTTCATATTGTACCAATTTTTCACTACCAAAATCAAAGACACGTCGTGCGCGCCACGTTATGGAACCTCGAGTTTGCTCCTACAAAACGGCCCACAAACATGTATTAGAAATGTATGGGAAACTTTTCCAATTTTTGTTTATTGGAGACAAGGTTGAGACCAAGGCGGCCACTCTTAAGAGCCAAACGGCATATGACAAGAAAACAGCGACCATGGATCGACTGCTGAAGGACCACTCAAATACGTACGACCAAGATGCACTCGATGGAGACATGAAGAGAGCTTTTGCGAATTACAAGGCAAGGAAGCAAGCAGCTGCCGAAGATACGAAGCCCCCTCTACCCTTGACTTCCCAAACAACGACACCATCAAGGATCGCCACACCATTAACAACATGATGAGAACAGGTGGAGTCCGGCTCCACCTAATTGCTTTTGACATACGATAACGTTGACAGTCATCCAAAGCTAAGACTCGAATCCCGGAGATCACATCGCAGTCCCCAATCAAAGAACCCCTCGTAAGAGCCCTCGATCAAGATCTCCTAGATGTCGTGGTTGTGGGGGCGGACCCCAGCGAAGTAATTTTAGCATCGTTTTGTGCGCTGAACCCTCGGAAACTGAATCAAGTTACGAGCTTGCTCATTAGACGCTCCAACCTCTACAATTTCAGGTTATCATTCAGGACCGCACTGGAGGTCAAAAGAAGCGAAGGGGTCATTGTTACGGTCAAAGACGATATAGAATTGAGCTTGGAATCATGGCTAATATCGCAAACGGGCGAGAAAGGAGGGCATGCATGCGAGACACATAGCGTATCGGAATTGAAGGCCTTACTACCGTCGTCGTCGTTTGTAAGAATAAAAGAGCACCGATATCACTTTCAACAATTCAGCTATGCCCTGTAACCACTTCGATCTTGTTCAGTGAAATCAAAGTTGTGGGAGCTCAAAAAGGCGAGCCGGGCTGAGAAGGATCATGCCGTGCATGGGGCAGTTGTGGACTGTGGGTCTCCAGGCTAACGAGACTGACAATGTTTGTATGCGGCCAGCAAAGCTCAACGCCCATACCAGGCTGGCTTCGCTACATGGAACCTTCAAGGCATATTTTTTCACGAGGTGTATATAATCGTCACGATTTGCCTATCTCTTCTTCATTAGTAATACTAATACCATGTTTCCTTGTGTCAATGCACTATGTCGATAAACAGCTCGGCACGCCGTCGTTTATGGGTATCTTACATCATCGAAATACTGAGTTGTGTACGTAAAACAAGGAACGGAGAATGGTGAAGCCAGCGAGCCGGACGTTCGTCTATCTCGAGGATAGGTACTAGAGATGGCTAGATAGGGACTGCATGGGCGCCCAGAATTTGGCCAATATTGTATTAGCCTCGAGTGGATCAGTAACTTGTCTCGCCCAGAGCCCCTCCGCGGGCCCTAGCAAGAATAGCTGTATTGGCCGCATCAGTTAGAATTGATCTTGAGCATCTTGGTGGGTGTTTCTCTTCATAGACGAGACGGTTTAAGGGATAACACGAGCAAATAGCGTTTGATGTCGGCCCAGTAATATTCGCGCTGACGCGCCGCTGCGAGGTTGTGCTCAACTGTGAACGCATTTTTTTATGTGTGTTTGTCTGTTTGCGCACAGGCAACACCAAGAAGGACAAACTCTCGCTCCATCCCATTCCGCCGTAAATCTTCCTCGCCCAAAAGCGACAAAGAGTCAAGGCGCCCATTGAAGCAGCCATGTCGAAGCGACAACCCTGCCACACCTATGCAAATACTGGATCTTGCCATTTTGGAGATGGATGCAAGTTCGGTAATCAACCAGCACTGTCTCGACTCAGGAAAAATATCATGTCCCTGACGTGTGGCGCTAACCACCTCGCTTTATTAATGTAGCTCATGTGGAGCGATCAGATTCCAAGGGCTGTTGGTCGCAAGATCCACCTCGTGTAAGAATGGAGCATTTCGACCTCAGATCTTGGATTTGTTACAAGGTGGTGAAGACACCTGCTAATATTATTTCACCATGAAAACATCACAGGGTCGCAGGAACACCGGAAATGGTCGTATCGGTGGTGGTGAAGTATTTGGTGGAACTAGGGGAGAGTCTTTCGGTTGGTTTGACGGCGCACCATCCAACCCAGCACCGAGTCGACAGCCGCCTCGACAGCCGCCTCGCCAGCAACAACAGCAACAACAGCAACAGTACCAGTTAAAACAGCAGCAGCAGCAGCATCATCAACGTAAGCTTTATGTTAATCACTTGATTGCTGACTGATTTGTCATATCCATACCGGGAGATGTGCTGATCTACTCATCTCTTATTCCTTTAGGCGTTCCAGGGAACCAGAACAGCAGGCGTGGAGGAGGCAAGCAGGCGCCATCAGGGCCGCAGAAGGGAAAGAAGGGTGGGAAGCAGAACCAGGAGCCTCAAAAAGATCCGTATGCCTCTGTCAAAAAACCACTCCCGTTGCTAGACAATTCGTGGAAAAGCGATCTACCTCGAGGCAAGTATGGGCAAAACAACCAAGCATCATATGTCATATTATTCGATAAACATGGAAACTGACAGCTACAACTTTTCCTCGTCTTAGACAATTTTCGATTCCAGTCTATCTGTCCATCAGAAGAGGACATCAACATGGACGAATACCCCGAACCTCCAGAGAACATCGTCCATATGGCGCATGAGTCGACCGAAAAGTACATCGAGGCGCACTTTCGTCTCCTTCGTGCAGACTGCACGCTTCCTGTGCGAGATGCCATCCGGTCTTACAGAGGGGGGATCGTAGAAGACAACGAGATGATGATATACATCAATGTGAGTATATCCAGGTTGTTCCACCTATGTGTCCTTGCAATGTCTGTTATTGATTGTGACAATCGTACTGATTTTTGAATCACCCCACTAATTAGGTTCGACCTATGGCGCTCTTGTTTGCCAACATTGGATTGGTTCATCGAATGTCCTTTATCGTGGACGGTCGCAGGGTCAACTGGAGGCAGTCCAAGCGTCTTATACCAGGAACGATCGTTTGTCTCTCTATCAATGAGTTCGAGCATTTCAGGTTCGCCACTGTCGTCGAGCGCGATCTCGAGTTCCTGCAGAATCCACGAGACCTAAGGATCGGTATAAAGTTCATTCATCCGGACCCACTCTACGACTTCAATCCGGACATCTGCTACACCATGATCGAGGCCATGCAAGGCTACTTTGAAGCATACCAGCATATCCTTAAATGCCTTCAGGACATCGACCCCTCCACCTTGCCATTCCAGCCTCAGCTCGTTGGACTCGAACCGGAGTTGGAGCAGCCAGCATATAGCCGACGAATCGCTAGTTTGTGGGACAGAGACTTTCTTGAAATGTCCGTTCAGGAGTTCCCAAGTATTGTGAAAGGTCAGGAGCCACATTTCCGGGATAATCCCAAAGACAGAGAGCAAACCAAGCCGAGACCGGCCCCTGAACCTGTCCAGCCGAATGTTTTGGATGCGGTGCAACGCATGCTCACTCAGGAACTCGCAGTCGTGCAGGGTCCGCCCGGAACAGGAAAGACTTTCCTCGGTCTCTTGACGACGCATATTCTTCTGGAGCAGTGTCGCACCGCAGCCACAGGACCGATGATTATTGTCTGTCAAACCAACCACGCGCTGGATCAGTTTTTGGAAGGAATTATGAAGTTTGAGGATCGCATTATCCGCCTCGGATCAAGATCAAAGAGTGCTATTGTATCTGAGAGGACTCTCTACAACGTACGAAAGCGCTACAAAGAAAATCCGACTGAGGCCCGTAATGATGGTCTCAGGAGTTCGGCTCCCGTGAGGTTTTTCAAGATGCGGGACAAGCTGGAGGCAGAGATGCTGTCCTTGTTGGAGGAACTCGCCGTCGAATACGTACCCCTAGCGAAATTCCTCGAATTGAGCATCATCACGCAGGCACAATTTGACTCCTTCGCGTACGACGGATGGGTGACCAGACACGATCAGGAAGAGAACCCTACGGCGGAACCTTGGCTACAGGCCGCGCCCTACATCCAGGATCCGAATGACATCTCTATCTTTGACGATGCTGCACTGAAGGACGATATTATCCCCGAAATTGACGAAGAGGAGCTTCAGGATCGCGTTGAAGAATTCATGGTCGGAAACGTTGATGAGAACAAGATTTCGGGCCATGCCGTCGACGTCAAGCCATCCATTGTTCGCCATGTGGACGACCTTATGATGGGCGATATCGGGCCCTATCTGAACATGCCCAACGTGCACGAAATTCCGGGACAGAAGCGAATGGGTGTCTACAAGCAGTGGCTGCATCGATACCAGGCCACCATTATCGCCAGATTAGGGGAGCTGAACAGGATCTATAATTTAGTCTGCGAGAACATTCGCGCTGAACTTCGGAGGAACGATGTGTCGATCCTCCATACAGCGCGAGTCATTGGTATGACCACTACTGCAGCAGTAAGTCATTCGTTACCATGCCTTATTTTGAATGTGCATATCTTGAATTAACGAATCAATCTTAGGCTGATGTATCTGCTTGCCATTTTTCTTTCTCTCCCTCTCTTTCTCTTTAGTCTAAGTATCACGACCTGCTTTGCCTGCTGCGACCAAAGATCATGCTGTGCGAGGAGGCCTCAGAAACCCTGGAGGCGCATCTTCTGAGTGCCCTAACTCCAACTGTCGAGCATTTTATTCTAATCGGAGATCATGAGCAGCTGCGACCAAGTATGTCGGTGGATGACTTGAAGCACAAGAACATTGATGTCTCCATGTTTGAGCGTCTTGTCCAAAACCACTTCCCATTCACAGTCCTGAATTGTCAGCGGCGCATGAGACCTGAGATTCGCAGCTTGATCCGACCAATCTATGCTCATTTGACAGACCATGATTCTGTCAAGAGATATGAGAATGTCAGGGGCGTAGTCAACAATGTAGGTGTCGACTGGACTTGGCTACAGTTATGATAGGTTTATTTCATATTCTAACGGTCGTTCAACTTTAAACTTACAGCTCTGGTTCCTGACCCACGACGAACTCGACGAGTTGGGATCGAACAATTCACACATCAATTTACATGAAGTCGGCGTTGCGACGCGACTGGCGCTTTATTTTCTCCAGCAAGGCTATGAACCATCCGAAATCACGATTCTGGCCATGTACTCTGGCCAACGCAACAAAATTCAGGAAAGACTACGCCATAGCAATGTCCGCGGTGCGAGCGACATCCGAGTATCGACCGTAGATGGATTCCAGGGCGAGGAAAATGAAATCATTATCTTGAGCTTGGTCAGAAGTAACACGAACAATAGCATTGGCTTCCTAAAGACAAGCAACCGTGTCTGTGTTGGACTTTCTCGTGCCAAGAAGGTGAGTTTTTTATTTTTTATTTTCCTTCTTCGGACATGCGAAATGATTCTACACTATATTTTACAGATACTGGGCCTCAACTCTACTCGTCGTTTGTATAACTGCAGGGCATGTACATCCTGGGCAACGCAATGCTGTTGATGCAGCAATCCAAACTCTGGTTTGAAATCATTAACTCTCTGATGCGAGACCCTGACCGGTTTAAGATTGGTAACCGGATCAAGCTGCAGTGCTCTCGACATCCTGAGATGATTTCTGAGATTGGTCTCGAGTCCGATTTTGACCAGGTCCAGGACGGTGGCTGCTCAAAGCTTTGCGGCGGCACTTTTCCAGTCTGTGGCCATCCCTGTCCATACCGCTGCCATATAAAAGACCACGACGAGATGATGTGCAACCATCCCTGCGAAAGAATCCTTCCCTGCGGAATCCACGCCTGTCCAAGGAGCTGCGGCGCATTGTGCAAACCCTGCACTGAATGCTAAAATGCAAATTTTCTGTCCGCGACATCCTCATCACTTCGCTGGCGTCTTGCAGATGTACGGTTTTTTCGTATAAAAGCTATCATTTCTCCCTACATCTGCTGGTCGTAAACGCAAAACATTTACTTTAGTAACAGCGAGCCATTTACAGAATACGAAGTAAAATCATAGCTACCTTCAGTATTGGACAAAAACCCGATGCGGTATAGACCTACGGCCCATTGTTTGATTATCAGTGCTTTGCACGTATTTTTGGTATATCAATAACTTATCTATACGCCCTTGTCACAGCAAGAGAGCTCCCGGTGCATTATTAGTTAATATCAAGGGATTCCAGTGCTGTGCGCAAACGGCGGCAGCATTTTGTGAGCGAGTAAAACAGACGCGCCAGAAATGGCGATAGTCGCGGCGGTGTGGGGGTCAGGCCTCGGTGCAGTAGTCTAACTTAGAGGAGATATACCCTGGACTCATGCGTTCCAGCGCGTCGTGAACACTGACGAACTTCGCGACACCGTTGATGGTGCGCCGCGGCTTTGATTGGCAGACTTTAGTACCAGCGCGAGCTCGTCGCACAAGAACTTGCTTCTCTTGATTCCTACGCTTGATGTGCCTTCCGTTGGGATGCTGCTTTTCGCTGCTCCTAAATTCTTCCTTCTTGTCTCGGTGTCATATGGAGCCGCAACAAAATCTATGTTAAGTAATGATGGTTTTCCCAATAAACGTTGCCCTCCCGCAGGTTGTTCACAGTAGTGGCGAACTCGTCTGTATACTCCAGTATCGTGCGCGAGATTCTCTTGACGGATAACAGATGAACGCAGGGTTCAGAGAATCCTTGAGCGTGTGTCACTACCAGCTCCCAAACAGCAAGCGGCTGCTGGTGTACCACATCGCTGATCCGTACTTGGCTCTCTATTTCGTCCACCTCCGTGTCTTTGGTCCCGGCCTCGCCCCGCTTTCTCTTGCCTAGTACCTGGGAGCTCAAAAACCGTGGGTACATGAAACGAGAATGGTCCTTGGAAGAAAAGTGCGCGAGATCTTAGGTAGCTGGGCTATCTCCGGGGTCCATCAGCGCCTCCTACGAGCGCCGAGGTACGACTGCAATTTGTAATACCGCGTCTGCATACCCACGAAAACTGAAGCTCGTTGGTATCCCTTAAACCGTTAGACGGGCAAAATTTGCCTGTCAAAGTTTTTTAGACGTGTTTTTTTAAATTTTTAGTAAACCGCACCCCCTCTTCTCTATACTCAATTGAAAGAGCGGAACAAAATACGATGGGGACAAGGAGCACATCCCATAAACTTGCTTCCTCATTACTCCCATGAGCACTTCATCATTCAAGGCGATTTTCATCGGTAGTCAAATTGAAAGAGTGGTTACCATAAAATAAAAAAAAATAAAACTCCGCTTCGAATTTGCATTGATTTAGTACAGAAAAATTGATTTTTTTTGGCGGGCAAATTTGCCTTGTAAACCTTACGGTCGAAGGGATAATTCGATGTAGATGGAAGCACCTGGGATTATTTGCATTCAAACCTAGGGCTTCATGGTAGAGCTCCCCGTTGGTCACCAAAAGAACGAGTGAAATCAAGCATGAGTGCTGACTGTGCCCAGTATTTGTCAGGGGCTGTACTCGACAGCACTCAGCCCAACTTACTACGAATAGTCAGAATTGAAAGTTCCGCGATTACGTCTAACAAGATCGATCGCTGATGCTCAACAATGTTAACAGTATTATCATGCTAGCCCTGCATGTCTGGCTTTAACATAGCTTCGAGCACCGCCATGCATGTGAGGATGTCGTCCTCCTTGTCTTGGACTGGCACCGGTATGTTAATGGACTTCTTGGCGATATCCATATCCTTCCGTATATTATCGCTTGCCTCGGCCCAAACACCTTGAAACTCGCTGCAGCCGCTTTATAAGGTACCGTGTGTCCAGGAAATAAAGATCCTTCTCTTGTCTTGTTGACTTCTGTAAATGAAAATAAGGACATTCCCTATCGGTTACCGTGATCCTACACGAGAGTATCTACCCGACAGGTAGCGTGTCAAGGACCGCCGCTACAACCCATTTCTGCCGCATTCACCGGACAGTAACGCAGGAGACGAATGTCATAGGAAGAATATAATCTCATCCCCCCGTGAGATTTTATTCTTACACCCACCATGAGATTATCCAAAGCACATAGTGAAATCTTCTCACACCCCCCGTGAGAGCTCTAGTCTTACACCCTGTTATTTAATAGCGAAACAAAGATAATCTCACGGGCATCCCAATACCTGGGGTTCTAAGTGCTTAAGCATCTGACACACCTAGACACACCTAGTTTGACGCCCCGTTATCACCGCACTCTGGTAATCAGCGATTTAATGCGTCGCCCAGATGTGTCAAGAATGCAAACTTTTGTACACCTCTCTCTCTATACCAGCCCACACTTTTTTTCCTTCTGCTCCGACCGCGCGCCACCGTACCCAATACGTAATTTTTAATTGCTCCTATCACACATCTAGTCCCACCTCAATTCGTTTAAGGATCCGGATCTTTTTAGCCATTGCTTCCTTGATATAGGCTGTAGTTCAGTTCCGTTCTCTGGTACCAGGTGTGTTACCCTCTTGACACACCTGGGCGACGCACCAAATTGCTGATTGCCAGTAGTGCGGAGTTAACGGGGTGTCATACTAGGTCTTCATGTAGATTCACATATCAGTCTCCTCGTCGCTGGAGAATCTACCCCTTTGTCCATTCCAATGTGAGGCAGGATTAAGCCAAATTCCACTCCGAAGCTGAATGACGAGGTGCCATGGAAAAGAAAAAACAGACACTCGTTTGTGATCATATTGGAGTAGTACTTTACGACTCAAAATCACATCGTGGATCTTCGCAAAGGTTTAATGCTAGATTTAGTATGCTATGATGTCGTCAGTGCTTCGCCCAGTTTCTACAATATTTCAATGCACTGTTGACACCGATGCAACTAGTATATAAACCCTATCTACGCATAGACTAAATAGCAGCATTCGCCCAATAAAATACCCTTTTCACCCTAGACCCTTCAACGCCTCAGATACTCCAATCGTTTGCAAGCATGCCGACGCGTAGGGAGCTACCTAGCTTTCACTGTTATGGAAAATGATAAGCAAGGTGCTTTCCCGTTTCTACATCTGCACAATTTTTATACCGATCTACACTCGCTCCATCAAACCGCCATTTTTATTTTACTTATTTTCAATTGGAGACATACAACTAGGGGGCCTGAATGTTCCGAAGTGAGGGGCGTCAGAGCGCATTCTCTTTCTACTTGTAGAAACCGGACTAGAAGGTCCGGTGTCAGAAGCAGAAGCAGAAGCAGCTTGCATAGCTTGCCCCTGCTCTTGACCTGCTGCAGTCTGGGCAATAGAGCTCAGGATCCGTTGCTCCATGGCCGTGATCAGCTTGCGCTGTTGTTCTTGAAACGCCGTGATTTGCATGCGCTGTGCATGTTGCTGTTGAATATTTGCAATACCCAAGCCCCGCATGAGCTTTCGGATAGTTGCACCAACCACTCTTCCCAAATCAAATGTCATTGAGGTAGCCGTAATGTCGTTATTGTTGAATATGAGTGGATTGCTGCCGCGAAACGCCTCATCGCCTTTGTTGTTCTCCTCATCAACCTCGTCATCAGATGTACCTGGGGCATTAACGACCTCCAAATCATCAGGGAGAACTTGAGCGCTGTCAATAAGTTGAAGCCCTGAAACGTTGATCGGGTTGTTGGAATGGGCGCAGACCCGCTTGTAATGCTTGCTCAGCCTATCCCTTGTCAGGAATAGCTTTCTGCAGACGCAGATGAAATCCATGCTTCTATCCTCGCGCCTTTCAAATTGGACGAGCACATTTAAAAGGACGTTTTTCACTTGAATTGGCACCGTTAATTGCAACCGAATCAAGTTGTTTTTTTCTGACTTGGTCAATGGCACAGGTCTGTCCTCGTCCCTGACCAGGAAACCCTGATCAATGCGACGCTCCTATGTCTGGATCGCCGCTTTCTTGTCCAGCAGTCCCTGGACACAGTTGTAGAATGTACATTCGTTTCTCTGTACCTTGATCATTGTAGTTAGCGTAGCGTGTAGTGGGATGCTGGCGAGGAAGGTAATTTGCAACAATGATATTGGCTGTAGAATGTTAGAGTGTGCACAGAGAAAAAAAGTTGCGAGAAAGAGCGCATTCCATCATGTCCTCCACCTTGTATGGAATATATAACTCGCCTCATAGTCTACAAGTTCTCTTCTTGACCGTATCTCCATGGCCAAGCAATCTCGAGCAACGGCCATGTTGTGTCATCCTCTCTCTTCGTCCAATTGCTTTACGCTCATCTGCAGCTCGTCCTTTTATTCGTCCTTTTGCTCGTCTTTTTGCTAGTCCTTTTGCTCGCTCTCGTGCCTATGCCACACTCCTGCACACCTATCTGGAGCTCGTCCTTTTGGAGCTCGTCCTCTTTTCTTTTTCGAAATGTGCAAGGCTGTTTGCATGCAATGCTAGACTTTAAGTCAGGATGGTTAGGGTTTGTCTTATGTAGAAAGAAAAGAAGAGAGATTGCTAAATCACGATGGGTAATTAATGGCCATAAGTATTAGCAGCATCAGCAATATCACATATTCACTAGAGTCCGTTATACAAGGCTATAGTCTATGGTCTATCCAGATCGGGTATCCGGAGAATATCCTGAGATACGTCTTACTCATAGACCAGATACTCATAAACAATTGCTCTCAGTAAGCTCTTGACGCTCACCTTGTGCATTGTCCAAAGCGTCTTTGCAATTGAGGAACATTTGGAGGCATCACCACCCGTTCGCTTTTTCAACCTTCTTCCATGATGATCTGAGAAGTGCATCTGGACTTAAGTCACATATTTGACGCCCCAAAACTAGGAACTAGGGGATTCATTCAATTGGGCTGTAACCGTTGGATCATTTTCGATGCACAGAACAAGCGCGACGCGTATGGCGCAGCACGGAAGGTCGTTTGTAGCAACTGGCTTCTGAATAATACCTCTGATTGACTAGCAGCCTCACTGCCTACCATGGCAAGAGGCAACAGGATAACACCCTCAATCCCGCTGAAACGGAGACAGGGACTCATGGAGCTACAGGACGCGTCTGACAACGAAGCAGGTCTTGGTGTCACCGAAAACCCACTTGTAGTGAAGCCGAAGGGGCGTCCAAGAGCAACACTCCACCGCCAGCGACCCAGGAGCGCGTGAATGTTCGCAACACACTGACGCGATGTGCAGTGCGTAGCGTAGCGATAAGGAATAATCTATTTGACAACCCGGGTTGTTACTCTTATTTGGCAACCCCTGCACAAATCCCATGTAAAACAAGACTCGTATCTTTTGCGAATTTCAAGTTGAAACAACGCGGCGAGAGGTTGAGAACCATTCCTTCCTCCACCCGGCACCCCATGCAACCTTTTGCGACCTTGGGAGAAGCCTTCATGACGAAAAACAGGATTTTATCGATGACGAAATGGGAAATCAGTTACATTGTGGAGTCCTTTAAGAGACAGATGACGATCTAGCTTAAAGAGCCGGGGCCAGATACCATAAGGACTGCTGGTATAATCGACATTTAAAAAATGTTGGCCTTACATGGAGTTAGTATAGGGGTTGTCGAATAGATTGTCCCTTTGAGCAAAGATACCAACGACGTGCGTTGGGAAAAGCCTGAGCAAAATAATGAAGAG